AGACCTTCGTCTAAATGGAAGTACAAGGCAAAACACTTAACTTTGTACAAAGACCTTGCCCTGTACGACTCAACGAATTCGATTTCGACGAAGGTCTGCGACCGAAATATCATCAGTTCATCAATAAATAATCCTTTTCATTCATTTCGTCATTTTCCGAGGAAACGATCACATATTCTAATGATATTTCCTGGTGTTATTGAACGCTGCGGTAGGGAGCATGCTCCTAAAAAACCTTCAATTTAAAAAATCCTCGGGTTTGTTCCTATATGTCTTTCTCTGTGCAATTCCCAACAAGCTTCTTCGCTCGGCAATGACATCAAATTCTCATAGCATCGGACTATGCAATAAACTACCCGCCCTCATCAAAAGGCAAACCGTTCTGCAATCTGCACTGCGACTGTGGCGCGGCAAACGCTTGCAGCTGTTCGCTGTGGCCAAAGCAACTAATGCTAACTAAATCGAACATTGCACTCCAGAGACTTCGGGGTCAGGCCCAGCCAATAGAGAAATCAGCTGCGCAGTCATACATTAACCATGAGGAATTTTTACGACTGCAGTGCAACACTTCTTCCCATGCAAACGAAGCACAACTTCTACGACTGTTGGCTACAAAGAACGCGAAAATACCTAACCAGTATGAATTTGTCCTAACAAATCATGGTCCGTCTAGCTTTCAATCAATGTCAACATTTGTTGCTCACTGAACACATGTTGCAAAAACACATTATTCAGTTCTGGTACGGCAATTACCTAACAAATAAAAAATATCTACCCTGTTGTGAAATTTTACGAGCTACGGCTTCGTTCATGTTCAGCCCGTATTGGCTACGTTATTCCTCACTTACAAAGTGACGATACACTCCTAAAACTGATTTTAGTTTGCAGCCGTGAAAAGATCATATGCAATACCTACCTTGCTGGCTGCACTGCTAAGAGGGATCAAGGTGACTCATTATCACACCATTCAAGATAAATCTGCTAACTTGCAATCGATCAAAAGCACACCGATGCCAAACAGTTCAACAAAATAGCGCTTGTCTCACCTGGATCAGTGCAGAGAGCTTGACGATCAGACAGTGAAGACCTCCACCAGCTCTGCGACTTCCTCTTAACACCCTGCCGTCTACCGCTCGGCCTTGGGTATAGCGTTATTGTCCGACGCGAATCGTTTGACCTTGCCTCCGCTCGTCACAACCGGACTCGGCCGCTCAGGCGTATGATCTCACTCCGGCGTCAATCCAAATGGCAAATACCGCAGGTCCTAAGACACCACCTTGGTATACTCCAACCAACTGTGGATGCCCTGCTACGGCCGCTACTGCTGAGACTCGACTCGACCGTTCCGGAGAGCCTGGCGAACTGTGCGGCCGCCCCGGTACTGCTGTGTACTGCGTCATCGCCTCGCCGCCGGCGGCGGCGGACTCACCTCACTTCACCTCACCTGAGTCACGTGGGCACGGGAGGCACGCGGGATTTCCCGCCAGGGCGGCGGAGGTCACCCGGGCGGCATCAGTGCGTCAGAGGAAGGGGCGCTGAGGGGTGTTGTTTGGGTGATGAGGGGTGCGTAGGGGTGCTAAGGGGTGCTGAGAGGGTATTGGAGGGGTGCTTCGAGTGCTGAACGGTACTGAGGAGTATCAAATGGCAGGTAAAGATGGGTGCTGAGGGGTGCTGGAGAAGAGATGATGAGTGAGAGGTGCGGCTGGGTGCTAAGAGAGGTATTGAAGAGCCTTTGAGATGTTGAGGGGTTCTCAGAGACCAGTTAGGTGCTGAGAAGGGCTGAAACTGTCGATGGGTTTCGAGAGAAATTAAGAGGTTTTCAGGGGAGCTGAAAAGTGTTAATGCTTAAGAGGTGCTGGAAAGTGCTAGTTGATTATCTTTGGCTTCTTATTCCTGTTGAGAGGTTCCGCGGACTGTTAGGGGTTTGGAGGGGTGCTGGCGAGGCACCCGAGGGGAGCTGGGAACCAAATCATGTACCCGGAAACAGCGCCGTACCCGAGTGCTGATGAGGGACGACAATGGTTACATATCTGACCTCTGTAACAGCGACGGCTGATAATGTGTGCACCGTGCAGCATGCATATCATATGTGGAACAAAACATCCCTTAGTTCCTGGTCCTGCCGTCTTACAAAATGCTAATCAAGTCCTCGATCCTGCTCCTAGTGCCATCATAAGAGGCCGGTCAAGTTCTCGGAAGTTAGTCCAAGGACCTGACCCGAGAAGTCATGAATATGTTAACGACGGAAGGGTATTCAGCGCTGAGGCATGAAGGGCTTACTGGCGTCCCGGCATCTGAAGTATCCCGCCTTCCGGCGAAATGCATATGCTCTATGACGTCATCAGATAACATTCCTTGTCCGAGTCATTCCATTGACTTCTTTGATTCCTTAACTCGGTATGAATGCCGTTTGAATCAGTCAGGAAATTACGAAGGGAGGTTGGATTCATAATTCTCAAGAAGACTGTAAACTTTATCACGTTACCAATCAACTTTGCACTGAGCCTTTCACGATACACAGGGTCTCGTACAGTCATCTAAATATTTTTTACTGAAGCCAGACGAAGTCGAAAGGCGGTCCAGATTTCACTCAATATACCCTGGTCCAGCTCAGCCAAATGGACAGTGCCAGGCGGCCAAGCCCATTGTCATAAGTCATAGCGCGGACGGTCAGAGTGATTCAACGATCCCCTGTCGATGAGCTCTTATTTGACTTAAAAACGCCACATTTTCATGGAATGAAACATGGGCACGGATACAGGCGTCGGATTTGTGAGGTCACCGGATTTCAAAGATAACTGCGAGTTACGACGACTTACGATCTATGTGTTATGACGCCATTGGTTTCCGTATTGAAAATACGCTGAGTCTGGACATATGATCTCGGGAAAGTGTCCGTGAAGACAGCCCATAGTAGTTAGTACGCCTAGATTCAGCACTGATTTAGCCCGGATTGGGGACGCCTCGGATCGACCAAAGCTGAGTCGATCCGAAATACAAATACACCAATTTGGGGCCGTTACCTTTGTTGAAATCTGAGGGTCAAACGGTGTGGTGTGCCGCCGAATGGCTAGGGCCACGTAGCTATTCCCTAATATAAGAGCTCTGTTGTGTGCCGTCAGCCGTGCAGGTTTCAAGTCAGCGTTCAGACTTCAGAGCTAGTCGGCCGAACTGAACATAAATGTGAGTGACTGACAATTGCGAGCCGGCTGGTTGGCCGAAATTAGCGCCTCTAGGCTCACCGTAAGCGAGAGGCCCAATAAATCATTCGCGTGGATGATTGGTCAGCGAACAGGCTGCCTGGTCGCTGATGACTAGCATGTGGCATGCGCTTCAGCGCAGACGAGCGAGTGGCAAGAGAGGCGAGACCTTCACTCTTCAGAGGCCCGATAGGGACCCTTTGAACATGATAGGGGCCCTCAGAGGCCGGTATGGGTTCTTATAAGCTTAGCGACTGATAGGGGTCTTCAAAGGCCAGCGTGGGCCCTCCGAGGCTGTTACAGGTACTCAGAGACCGTTTAGGGCCCCAGCCAGAGGTCGATAGGCCCCCTCAGAGGCCGCTAGGGGGCCTCAGAAGTCGTCAGGGCCTCAGAAGTCAGCAGGCGTCCTCAGAGGTCGGCAAGGGCCGTAGAGTAGAGACTCTGAAAGGTAGGGTAGGTAGGCGACCTCAAAAGCTGCTATGGGCTCTCAAAGGCCGGTAGGGGCCCTCAGAGGCCAGTAGGGGTGTTATGAAGTTGGCAGGGGTCATCAAAGACCGGGAAGGGCCCTGAAAGGCCGGAAGGGTCCTCGAAGACCGGCAGAAGCTCTCAGGAGCCGTTAGGGACTCAGAAATTGGTGGGCGCCTTCAGAGGCAGGTAGGGGTCCAGGTCCTCAGAGGCCAGTAGAGACGCTCTGAGGTCGGCAGGGGCCCTCAAAAGCCGACTGGGCCTCAGATGTCAGTAGTGTCTCTCGGAGGACAGAAGGGGCCCTCAGATATCAATATCGGTAAGGGCACTTACATATCCGTCAACTTTGGCGGCGGAACACCTTCAATTAAGGGGGAGCACTGCCGACTTTTGCTCCAATTCTTTCCATGCAACGCCCATAGAGCTAATGTTAAAATGCGTAAATCAAAGGGGGGCACGGTGCCCCGGTTTCCGCCGCCTGTCAACTTCAGTTTGGGACCTCAACCTTCAGGGATTAGCTGAGACGGGAGGCCCCCGAATTTGGGCTGGGCCTCTGAAGTCAATAGTCATCTAGGGCCAGATCGGATCATCTATTTGACGATATCCGACGACTGACGAGAGACGTCCGTCTCACTCATTCAACTTCAGAGGTCTACGAGGAACCTCAGGACACTGTTCCGTGCTCAATCGACCGTCACCAGTCTCAAGCGATTGGCACAATGACTCACCTGCAATTGGAGCAGTTACATGCATTCTGGAAGTACGAAACACGAGGGCTTTAGTTTTGCGATGGCATGACGGCATCCCATCCATTATTGCATCAGATCACATCCCCGGCCTCCGTGGACTGTGCTTCAGCCTTCAAGTCACTGGATCGATATTTATCGCCTTGACTGGATCCATCTAATGAACGCTCGCTAGTTGCTAGACAGTACATTTAGGATAACGCATATATAATAACCCCTGGATTATGGATACACGGAGAGCGCGGTATTTCAATTTGATTTGGGGTTCCACTGGGTTCCACTAATGTAAATAAACACATGTGCTTATTGTAGTCAAGCTAAAAATGTAACAAGCGCGCCACAAACGCGAAAATTATTACGCGCGTTATATAGAGATGTAAGAGCTCACATTAAGAGGTACTTGATACTCATTTAAATACCACCGATAAGAAATATTTTAAAGTTCTATTTCATATAACAAGCTGCTTAAGAGCTTAGATAAAATAATAATTTTTTTAGTAAAATTTAAAATGAAAAACAGCTTATAGAGCAAAGAAAAAGCATGAAAAATGAGAATTGAGTGTAAAAGAAGCTACTCGTACTCATTCGTTATAGGTACTTGCTACTCTCTCTAATCCGCCAGCCATTTCACTTATGCGTGTCCGAGCTTGTGTTTGTTGGATATTGAAGTGGAAAACGTTTCACGCCTACGTGAACGTCCTTTTGCCATTTTATTGCCATCTGATTATCCACAAACTGCGTTGATCATTTTCCCGTTGTACGGAGGCATGCCTGCGTTGATAATCTTAAGCAAATGGCGTGTTTTAATGGGCGCCTCAGACTACCTGGGAAAGCCATAATTGTCGTGTTTTACGAGAAACGGAATCAACAGGGATAAGGTGAGCTCACATTTGATATTTTAAAATAAGTTTTTAAAAGTGACATTGCCAATTAGTGTCTGGACAAAATTTCGTCAGACACTTTTCGGCTATTAGTAAGCCTGTCGTCCCAGGAAGATGCCAGATTGTGACAACGAAGATATATAGACCAAAACAAACCTAACCTGACCTGACCTAACCTAACCTAACCTAACCTAACCTAACCTACAAACCTACAATGTACAAAAACTATAAACCTACAACCTACCCTACAAACCTACAACGGTATCTGGCATCTTCCTGGGACTTGGACGCCAGGCTTAATTATATCCTTATTGTTTGCAGATTTCCATTAACTTTTTTCATCACATTTTTTCATCTGCACATTTTCTGTCTGCATTTTTTTTCATCCAGAAATGGTCTATATATTTTTCTGTCTGTACATGTTTTCATCCCAAGTTTTTTAATGTAATAAATTTTGTGTGTGCACTCACTGTATAACCACTGTTATAACTTCAAGGTTGAGTGAAGATGTACTACAATGCTATCTAACTGTGACTTGGGAGGCAAATGACATCATAATAATACTGTGGGCAAAGCAGTGCAGTGCCGCAGGCAATGCCTTAGGAAAGATTACAGGCAATGGTAATTGGGCCTTCTGCCTGAAGCTCAATGCGCATAACCTAAAATATGTAACTTACCTTTGATTGCAGTCTATTCATGCAAGAAGCCTTTTCTCTATCCCTCAGTAGGCAAAAATCAGTGGGGAAGGTTTGGTTATGTTGTAACCATTCTGCTCTTTGTGTATTCTCCATCCCACCTAATGTTTCTCTTTAAACTATTCTTCATTTTTTACGGGTTTGGACAAAGAAATATCCAGGGTAGTATTTCCCCCCAAAAAATGTAGACAAAAGATGTCTGGATGAAAAAAATGCACAAACAATATATGGACAAAAATTGTCCGGACAAAAATGTCTATACTAAAAAATATTGAAAAAAGCACTGATAAAAAATGGGAGAATAACCCGCGCACCGACGGGGGTCTGCGCCAACTTCGCACCGACGGGGGGGGGGGGCGGATGACCGCCCCCCCTGAGATCTCGAAAACGAAGCAAGATAGCGACAAGCGGTAAACGGCATCGGATACGCACGGCCAAGATCTACAATTTTTACCAAGGTCATTTTCAGGTCAGGTCAAAGATAACGTCACAGGGGTCGAAAAAGTCAAAATGGCGGTGCTAGATATGGAGAGTTTTTCTCGAATAACTTTCGAATTAGTCAAGATAGGAACAAACTAAGGGCATCATCGTGATCCTCTCGTCAATCCGCATCGAATGATATATATGTTGACCTCGAAAGGTCAAGGTCAAAGGTTGACCTCAGGTCACGTGACCTCGAGGTCATCATGTATATCATTCGATGCGTCTTGACGAGCTGAACACAATGAGACCATCCACGCGTCTGTATCTTGTTCCTGTACGGAGTTATTGGCCAAAAACCTTTGGTGACCTTTGATGACGTCACATGACCTCACAGCTGCCCAACAGCAAAACAGACCTCAAGGTAGTGAAGGTTGATCGTATATGAAGTCATGTATGGTAATGGGGCCATTCCGACCCGTTTTAGTGGTAAAAACAGGGAGTTGATTTTTCCCCCATTGACTTATAATGGGGAGGTCGCGAAATTGACCTGACCTTAGGTCACCGATATCAAAATTCCGAGATATACAAATTGTAGGTACTAATAACCTAATAATATCCTGCGACTTTCAAAGGCCTCCGACATCTACTGTAGCTCTGGCACGGTGACAAAGTTGCAAAAAAGTGACTTGAGGTTGGGTCATTCAAAGTGACCTGGTGACCTGACCTTAAAAGGTAGGAGGTTCAAACTTGCACACCATGTGTAAAATTGATGAGGTTATAGTCATACCAAATTTCGCGGCGCTACGCGCCGCGGTTTTCCCGCTATTCGCGAAAAACCTCAGGGGGGGCGGATATCCGCCCCCCCCCCCGACGGTGCGCGGGATAAATCCCAGGCCACTGGCCAGGGATCACGTAACAGCAATATATGAACTTTTTCATGATGCATGTGTAGTGGTACCTACCTATGTTTTATCGACCAGGGTAGGGAACATAGCTTCACAATTATGACATACCTTACCTACCTTATCTTCAAGGTGTATGGGTAAAGAAGGCCTGCTATCTAATGAGAGCCTGAGGTTCTCGCACTCATCGAGCTAGTGAGGATGTACATTGGGGAAGGGGATGTCATACATGTTGTTATTTGACATGACAATATTATTTCAGTTGGGCACACTGTGGTATCCATGGTTCATTTGTCAAAATGTTTTCATTTATGGAATGTTATTAAAAAAATGGAAATACTGAAAACCCATTATTCCAAAACTGGAAATGCTCTGTTTCAATTTTTGGAAATGCAACATGCACTTTGACCTTCAGCAATTGGTGAGAGCTAAGCTGCTCAGTTCCACATCAAACAAAGCTCACCATTCAAAAGAGCGCAATTCGTTAAGTATTCCCCAAGTTAAAAGGGAAAATTGGCTGTTATGGGACTTTTACTGGTTAACTATTTTCCAGACTTTATGCAAACAAAGCAAAGTTATTTCAGACAGGCACATTATTGCATTTTTGGTGAACCATACCACATGAATGATACAAAATTTAATAACCATTGGAAACTTTGATCTTTCTTATTCATGTTTCCAGACATATTCATCATTTTGTTATGGTTTCTGAAAATGAACCCTAAACAGTGTGTGGGTGACAATTAGGGTAGACCGGGGCAAGTCGCCCCGCCGAGGTAAAACGCCTCACCGATGTTTCTCGGAACTGGCAGGGTTCTGGGGAAACATCATCTCTTCTATAAAACGTGCACTATATGATCATTATATGAGCAGACTGGAAAGAAATTGTGATGACTCTTTCGGGAGATATAGCCAAAAATGTGTTTTTTGAGTGATTTTTATGTTTTGTTGTCAGATTATGAATCATGGCGTTCTTTTATGGTCCACATTAGGTTAACGACTTTTATGTATTTTGAACAACTATTGTCTAACGCTTATCATGCCGGGTTGGTTCGTGTTAAATTATGTCTTACTGGAGTGCAAGGCGTTGTTCTCTGACCGAACTACGTGATGGGGTAAAACGCCCCAGTAGGTCGCGGGGCAAAAAGCCCCTGGGGCGTTTTACCTCTTGTGTTGTTGGGGCTACCCACTTTCTAATGTTCGGTAGCTGGCGAACAGTAAGTTTCTGTGCCTTTATGTGTATTTTTCTCAGCAACTGGATGGCAAAGGAAGTATTTTGTTAACATTTGCATTGGAATAATTTATTATTTGGTCTTATGAGGTAGGTGAAAAACCTGCTCATACAACAGTGTCATATGCTGAGCACCTGACAGGATGGAATGTGCTAACTTCAGTGCCGTGCCTCCAGAGGTCTAACGGACCTCTCACATAGGATTTAGCCAACTACCATGTTAAATCTTTAATCTAAGGTATGGGGCTACTTGCCCCAGGCCGTGGGGCGTTTTGGCCTGGGGTTGGGGCAAAATGCCCCATTTGCAGTTGCTTCACAAATCACTTCCTAGCTTGGAGTCCGATCATAAGTGAATCAATTTGAGGGGTGCAATTTAAAGTAAAATGTCCAAAGAACGCATTGAGCACAAATTTGGCCTTTCAGGTGATGTGGGACAAAATTTATGTAGCAAAATAAATTATCTGGGGCGTCTTGCCCCAGGCTACCCTACGATCACACACACCAGGAAACATAATCCATTTTCTTCAAAATTAGAGGATCTTTCTAGGGAGTATGACCCACCTTCCCCCATGCAAGTTTTCATACTAAGTTTCTGGATCTGCCAACACACATATAGGTACTGACTACTGTACCTATTGTGTTTACCTGCGCTACCAAAATCACTTTGCTTGGCTACCCAGCACTGCTGATATTTTTCTGAATTGCCATATTTTGCGACCTGAATATGTTGTGCTGAACCCTTTCCCCTTATGACAGGCTTGGAATTTATCATATTTAGCCATTTACTTGCTTGTAGCTTACCAGTTCTACCCAAACTATCTAACTATGCCTGCTACTTTTCCTAATTGTTTGTCAAAAGAACTCTGGGCCTAAATATCCATGGTGGGTGTCATATGACATTGACACTCACTTTGAGAGAATCGTTTCATGAGAGAAACGCCATATCTATGGAACAGTGGCGCAGCCAGGGGGGGGGGGGAAGGGGAAGGTGAAAGGGGTGAGATCTCACCCCCGTCTCTTATCCTAGGGGCCCATCGTCGATTTGAACTGTAAAGTTATGCAGCCTGACAACAATTTATTTATAAACAAAAAATCATTTTGTCAGGTTTCGTAAGGCCCGTCATATGACTGAAAAACAGTTATCCGGCCTGATAGGCCCCTTTTAGGATTTATAGTCCCATTATAAATTTAAGAGGGTATAGCCAAGGCCCGAAAGAACCAATCCAAGGCCCAGGATGGCCCGTTCCAGAGCATGAGAGGGCCCATCTCAGGCCTGAGAGGGCCCATTTCAGGCCTGAGAGGGCCCATTTCAGGCCTGAGGGGGCCGGCCCATTTCAAGCTTGAGAGGACCCATTTCAGGCCTGAGAGGAACCCATTTCAGGTCTACGAGGGGCCATTTCAGACCTGAGAGGGCCCAGTTGCGACATGAGAGGGACCATTTCCGGGCTAGGAGGGTCCATTTCAGGTCTGAGAAGACCCATCTTAGGCCCAGGGGCGCAGCCAGAACTCTGGCGAGGGGGATGAGAGACGTTCGCGATGGGCCCCATAGCAAAGTGGGCCCCCTGAACCAAATTGGCCCCCTTACCAACAACGAGAACAGTTGCTGTTATGCCGAAATTCTCGGAAAATCTCAAAGCAATTTAAATAATCACTGAATATGAATGTCTCATTTTAAACTTGTCAGTTAAAAAAAACTTGTCTCATTTTATCTCAACTAAACTTGTCTCATTTTATCAGGTCAGATCAGATCTGACCTGACCATATCAGGGCATGGTATTAGCAATCAGGATTGTGATACGCCCTTTCAGACCCAGACCAGGCACGGACCCTCCCACACATAGGATGGTCCTCACTCCTCTCATGCCTGGGATGAGCCTTCTCAGGCCTGACTGGGCCCTCTGAGACCTGCAATGGCCCCTGTCAGGCCTAAAATGGACACTCTTAAACCTCAAACAGGTCCTCTAGGGCCTGACATGGGCCCTCTCAGGCCTAAAATGGGCCCTCACATGCCTGAAAGGGGCCCTCTCAGGCCTGAAATAGGCCCTCTCGGGACTGAAATGGACCCTATCAAGCCTGCAATGGACCCATTAGGCCTGAAGTGGGCCCTCTCGAATATAAAATTGGCGTTCTCAGACCTGCAATGGCCTCTATCATGTCGAAAATGGGCCCTCTCATACCACAGCTGGGTCCTCTCAGGTCTGAAATTGCCCCTTTTAGGCCTGAATGGCCTCCCCCTCCGGCTTGAAAGGGGCCCCAGGCCACAGACAGGCCTTCTAGCGTCTGAAATGGGCCCTCTTAAGCTTGAAATGGGCCCTCTCAGGCCTAACTATGGAAGGAAGGCTGTTTCACATGTTGGCACGTTTAACTCAAACCGAAAGTCGAAAGTTATCACTGGAAGTCGGGAAGCACACGGATAATTTGCCTGACAGGTTGAGGCGCCATTCTGGAATGGCACGGTCGACATTAGAGTTCAGAAAGAGGTCACACGCAGCCTGCAGGTCAAGGTTGGTTCGAGCCAATGTCATGTAATTTCAGGGTCGGTGTAAATTTGATAAACACTAAGGTGCTTAAAGCTTTGTTGCCCTCCGCAGTTTTTGTTCGAGTCATTAGTGGGCTTCTAAATAAGCAAAACATGATTGCAGTATTTAGCAATCAACCCTCGCCCGTATGGGTGTTTCGCCAGCTTCTAACGTAAGTGGGGGGGGGGGGGGGGAGGTTCCTTTGGAATATCCCTTGCCGTTCAGCCCCTGATCGAGCTAGATATTTGCAGAGAAAACTAGCGTGCTGTCCGTGACGAGAGGAAGCCGATGATACCCAATTTTTAGGCGTTGACCTTCCATGTCAGGTCAATGACCCAAAACCGGAAAAGAGACCTGCAAGAGTTTCGTAAAGTGAGGTCATGTTTTTTTTTTTTTTTTGGTTGTTGCTAATCACGCGTCACATATTAGTTTTGATCACAAATGATGTCGATGCATTTAGGCCAGGCTGGGTCATGTCAGGTCAACCAGGAGAATTATAAATGAGCTCCTGGTGCTGTTTCTACCTTTGACACATGTATCTCTTGTCTGTTACAGTTTGTCGCTTGCATCGCACATTCTAACGGAACACACGATGGATGATTCCGGCGAAGAGTTGCGTTTGGAGCTGGAAGAGGACCCTGTGGAGCCGGCAGCTGATAGCTCTGATGGTCCGGTTGGGGACCCTTCCGTGAACCATGACGGTGCTGAAGCGGAGCGTGATGGACCACCTGCGGACCATGATGGCCCGTCAGACCATGGTGATGGTCCATCAGAAAGCGGTGATGGTCCTTCAGACCGCGGTAATGGCACGTTAGCGAATGATGACGGTCTTCCAAGCGACGTGGAAGATCCGTCTAACCACGGTGATGGTTCGACCGTAGACCGTGACCACCCGTCGGACAAGTGTGACGATCCGTCGGGTGAATGTGTGAACTCGACCGGGGACGATAAAGGTCCGTCAGACAGTTGTGATGGCTCGTCCGGAGACGATAAGGACCTGTCGAACCAGGATATCGTCACGCCTACTAACCCTGGCCACAATGACGACTCGCCCAGAGATTGTGAGGACCCGTCTGGTGACAGCGAGCCTGAGAAGTCTGATGGCCCGACGGACCAAGGTGACGGCTCGTCGGATGATCATGACAACATCACGAAGAATATTGATGGTTCGTCTGCTGACCATGGTGGCTCGTCGAGGAATATTGATGATTCGTCTGCCGACTGCGACGGCCCGTCTACTAGCGATGACGGCCCACATGACGCGGTTGAATGTCTGGAGAGTGCCGAAGCGGCCGACACCGCTGAAGTGGCTGAAGAGGTGCGGTTACGACGACTCACGTGTGCTCCACCGCCTGATTCCGAGGCGGCCGATGAAGAACGACGTCGACGTGAGGCGGCTGCTTTGACTGAGGCGTTGCAAGAGGGTGTTTCGGTCCATTCTGTGGCGAAGAAGTATGGCATGCCGCGCAGCACGTTGTATGGTCGAGTGGAGCGTTACAGGTATCTGCAGAATCAGTTGGCTAAGTCGGCGGCCGAGAATCCCCCACCCACACCTGTGGAGGACAAACCAATTCGGTCGTCCAGTCGCCGCAGCTCGAGGTCCATGAGCTCCTCCGACACGGCCAGCCCCCGAACGCCCCGTCGTTCCAGGGCTCAGCCGCTGGCTGCTGATTCATCAACTTCCGCTCAACCATCACTTAGCGTACGACCGGCTGCCGCTGTGCCCAACAGTAGCGCTCAGCGTCCAAAGAAGAAAGAGTACCCTAGCTCATGGCCGGATCTCGCGGTACTCATCAGCCGACGACTCGCAGTGTCTCTCGATGAGGTAGAAGCCTACGATCGCGCCATCGTCAGCGTTCTTGCCGGCCGAGCGAGCGCGGAAGAGGCAGCCGCTGAGGTCGGTTGCTCTCCAATGTGGATCGTGGCTCAAACAAAGCGCTACCGTCGCGAACCTAGCCGGTTCCAGTTCCGTCGGCGATTTTCGGGCGCGGATAGCTGCTACCTTCCCGATTCCGCCACCACAGATACCGATCAACCATTTTCGGATGCGGACAGTGATGACTCGGGCGGTGGACCGTGGCACGGTTTTCCATTGGAGGTGAAGCTCGCGTGTGAGGCGGACGCACCGGCCGATGGAGGGGTTGAGCCGCTGCCCCTGCTTGATGCCCTCGTTGCCCGTGGGTCTGTGCATGGTTGGGGCGTCAGTGATGGCTCGGATACCCCTCGAGAGGCTGAATGTGGGAAGAGACAGTCGGACGATCAACCAGGTAGCTCATCGCCCTGTCCGTCACCGGTGCAGGATCGGATAGGCGGGTCCGCAACTGAACCGAGGGTGGGCGAAACGACAGGGCCCGGCGATGGTAAGACCGATCAGCACGAGGACACTGCACCTGAGAGTCCATTACAGCCTGCTGGGAGTCCTGTGCCGCCGGTGGAAAGTCTGTCGCCTGTTGAGAGTCCTGCGTCTGCTGAGAGTCCGACACGCGCTGACAGTCCAACGCATGTTGAAAGCACATCTTCTGCTGACAACTCGCCTGAGTGCTCGTCGGCAGCTGCCGAGAACAATGCAACTGTCGCTAGTCCACGTCCTGCCGAGAAATCATCTCATCACTCATCTCCATTTGATAACAGTTCATCTGCTGATAAACCACTGCCTCAAGAGAGCTTACAAAGGTCTATTGGAAGCCCATCACCGCCCACTGAGCTTGTCGACAGCTCGAGGGCATCTTCTGCGCCCAAAGAAAGCCCACGAGCGTCTCCTGAGCCTTATGAGAGCCCACGGGCGTCTGCTGAGCCTCTTGAGAGCCCACGGGCGTCTCCTGAGCCTCTTGAGAGCCGACAAGCGTCTGATGAACCTTTTAAAGGACTCCTTCCAGCTGATGAGCCTGCTGAGGAGCTTTCGTCACCTGCCGAGCCCGGTGAGAGTTCTCAAGATTCTACGGAGCCTGTTAAACCTGCTGAAATCTCTCGCGCGACTGCTGAGGCCACTGAGAGTCCCGAGGCTACTGCCAAAGACGTCGAGAGTCAGCAGGCTTGCACTGAGCTCAGCGAGAATCCACAGGTGGCTGAACAGACTAGTGAGTCTGCCGAGGGTCATCAAGCAGTTGAGTCGGCCAAGTCCACTGAAAGTCCACCGCAACCGACAGAGTCTGTCGGGAGCCGTCCTGACTCAGTCGGTGGCGCTGGTGACAATGGGTCTTTAACCAGCCCCACTGGCAGTCAATCTGACGCAAGTGGCACGCCAGAGAGGAGAACCACGAGAAGTCGAAAGCGAGCCGAATCAGAGCGAAGCAGCGGCCGTCGAGACCGTTCCGACGAGTCAGATGGACGGTCACAGGATAGAAAGAAGAAGAAAAAGAAGAAACATCACTCGTCGGATCGTGAAGATGGCAGTCGGCGGCGTTCGAAGGATAGGAAAAAGAAGAAAAAGAAACGACGAAGCTCATCACATGAGAAGGAGAGACAAGGACGATCTCGTCACAAGAAGCATCGAGATCATGAAAGTGTGGACGAGCTCATTCTGAAGACGAAGAGAAGGGAAAGTCTTAGGCTGGCAAAGGAAAAGCAGTCTCGACAGACTGAACTACAGCAGTCTCGTCCTGTGGAACCTGAAAGCAAAGACGATCAAGCCGCCAAGAAAACGCCTGTTGCTGACAGCAATGTCCGAGGTACTAGCAACACAGTACCAGCCATGAGTTCCCCGAAAACCGACAAAGAGAAGGCAGAGAGTGAGCCAGTTGCCGTAATTGACAAGTCGGCCGCAGAAGTCGTAGAGAACGAAGAGGCGGATGTGGATGGAAATTTGGAGGATAACCAGTCGCCAGCCAAACCCAGCGCTGGGTCTCCTCACAAGAGCAATGCGGATGAAGTTGGCAAGTTGATTAAAGGAGCCGTGGAGAGCGAAGAGGCGGCTAAAGATAAAGCTTTGGAGGATAACCTCTCGCCAGCGGAACCCAGCGCTGACTCTCCCGAGGAGAGCAAAGAGAATGAGAGTGAGAGTGTCGCATCAACTGCAAATGATGGCGGGCAAGGGCCTCCCGCAGAAGCTTTACAGGACAAGACACAACCTTCTAAAAATGGTGTCAGCGGAGAAGAGGCAGCGCCTCTCACGAAAGAAGAAGAGGCTACGCTGTTTGCCGATAGTGGCGCAACCGCTACAAGCAGTGAAGAGCCGCTACCTGTCACTAAGCATGACGAAGCTCTGTATGCGTGGCTGATCGGTCACATGGGCTCCAAGAAGGCGGCTGAGAAGTTTCACGTGTGTCGAAAACACCTGCGTGGCCGGCGAGATACGATGACAAGGGATCAGCGCATTAGTTTCCTGAAACGAATGCGCGACTTCTATCAGGTAAGAGACGCCGGGAAGACGAAAACACCAGCCGCAGCGCCTGCCCAGCGTTCACGACCACCCTCCACCCGACCATCCAAGCCGCGCCCATCGTTCGGTGAGGCCCTCATGCTTCCAGAGACTGCGATGATTTCCCCTCCTCGGCGCCGTGCCGAGACCGATTCGCCTCAGCCTAGCGGGGACCCAGCATCTCGACTACTCTCTGAGGCAGAAGTATGCGTCGTGTTGGACGAACTGCGCGCAGGCCAGAGTACAACTGCTATCACGGGACGCTATAAGATCACCCGAAACTGGCTGACGCGATTCTCTGATGAGTACGCCGCCGGTCGTAGTGATAAGGATATCTACCAACTTTATGTGCGCACGGCCTCCGCGCGTACAGATCAAGATAACATCGCACGGGCTGTGGCGCTCGTCCTCAAGGGTCACAGCGTCAAGAAGATCGCTCGACAGAGTAACCTTGGCGTTAACGTCCTAAACTATCACATCAAGAAGCATCGAGAGCGTCAGGCTGCTACGGGAGGCGCGGGAGATCAAGCTAAGCCAACTGGCGAGGTAGCTGCAGCAGCAGGGGCACCAGAGGCTCGTCCCGAGCGTTTGACAAAGACAGCACTTCGTCACTTGATTCGGAAGCTGATGGATTGTGCTGAGACTGATGTCAGCGGTAAGGCGGAGCTTGAATCACAGCTGGCTTTGCCTCAGCGTCATGTGAACCGCCTCCTTCAGATGGCTAGTCGTAAAGGCACCGCGCCGGCAGCTGTGTTTTCCCTGTACTGTCGACTTTGGCGTGAGGCGGGTGACGAAAAAGCAACAACTACATCAAGTCGAAAGGACAGCCTTGCGGCCAGCGTTCTAGCCCATGGACCTGGGGGTGACGGTCCTGGAGCCGTGAAGGATGGACCATCAGGTTCTAAGGATGAACCAGTAGCTGAAAGCGGGTCAGCTACTAAGGATGCACCAGCAACGGATGCAAACAAACCAGCATCAAAGAAGGACGAACCAGCAGTGAAGGACGACAGTGGCGATCCCGGAGCAGCCATTGCACCAGCAGACGGAACGCCAAGTGGCGACACCCCTGGCCGCTCACGACGACAGCGTCGACCTCCCAAACACCTGGAAGGGTACCTCGACGTAGCGGTGCCATCTCCCGAACGGCCCGCAGCCCCAGCCGAGCCGGCTGTAGCCGATCTTTGTGCCCGTGCAGAGTCTGCGGCACGTGCGGCGTTTGCCGTTGAGCGAGGCGTGTGTCTGCCGTCAGAGGCGCCCGCCCGATTCAAAGTGACTCCCGAAGAGCTGGCGGAGGCTTCGCGAGCTCTCGGAAACATGCCTGTGATCAAGAAGAAGTTGAACACCCTGGGGATGCGCCGTGCGGTGGCTGCGGTCCTCAGGGGACATACCCAGCAGTGGGCGGTCAGCATGTGCAAGGTGAGTGACAGCTACGGAAGCCCTGATCATCTGGGTGGTGACGGGTAGATGGGCATTCCTATTACCGTGTTTCTGGTGATGATGGAAAAGATTTGAGTGCTGGCTTCGGCTTTACATTCAAAAGGGTTATAGATACATTTTTGCTTGTCTTTTTTGTCATTAATTCCTTTTTCACTCCGGTTGATCGTTCCAATTATGGGTAGACCTGTTTTGTAATTGTCATTATATGATTTTTTATAAACTGATAAAACCGTGATGTATTATTGAGACGATACAAATGTACATAAATAGCATGATTTTGAGTACGGGAGAGCCCCAATCACAAGCAAACAGCAAGTGTTTTGTAATGGCCTCCGACTTGCCTTGTCCCCTTTATCGGGCTAGCTGACTATGTGTGCTCCATGGCAATCGCAACTCACCTGCCAGCCCAGAGTACTCAAGGTACAACACTAACCACTGCTCATTTGCCGCCAGGTTACACCGATGGGACTCTGGAAGACCCTGAAACGTCTCCGTCAGGCCGGTCTCATCGGTCAGCACATCGGCAAGCGTCGCTTCATCGGTGGCGACTCGGAGCCGGCGCCTTCGAAGGACGACTCAGCTGACGGAACGGCGGATGAGACGTCACAAGAGGCGCCTATGGAAGATGCGTCTTCTGCCGCAACGGCAGACGATTCCGATGATAGTGACACCGAACAGCAGGCGTCTGATGACGAAGTGCCAATGGGGGACAGCCTCGACCTGTCGAACTTGGAGCCCAACATGCTTGCGGCAGTAAAGGCCGTTCTCAGCGGCGATTCCAAAGCATTGGCGGCCAAGAAGTACCGTGTTGAACGGAAGGACCTCATCGAAACCCTCCGTAAGCGGGCGGTCACGCCGATTGGAGTTCTAGGTTCAAGTGAGTTTCAATTGCGCGTGGATGGGTCTGCGTCATTATCCCAGCCAGTGAGGGAAGCGATCAATGCGGTGACCTCTGGGAAGATGTCCCGTGCGGCGGCCGCAGCGCACTATGGTGTCTCGGTGAAATACCTCTACAATCTAATTATAAACAAGAAAAAGAAGAGACAGCCAACCCGTGAGACGCTACCGTTGAAGACTGCTGCCGATTCCCGCCTGGATCGCATTCGTGCGGCGCTGGCCGAGGCTCGGAAGGGTAAAGAATCCAGAGCTGCCATTGCCAAGAAGTACGGCATGAGCTACTTTACGTTCTACTATTACTGGAAGCGGCAACAGGAGGGCAAACCGCTACCGTCAAGTTCCAGACTACGATCAACGAAGGCGACTGTACCGGACCGTCCTCCGCCTGCGACGCCTCCGTCTGAACAGCCAGCCTCGCCTGCCGTCGACCCGAGTAGCATCTCGGACGTGATGCGGAAAGCCATCGGCTCAGTAATCCTGGGGAAGATGTGTGTGAAGGCTGCGTCGACGCTACACCGAGTACCATTTGGTCAACTGAAGTCACTGTGCCAGAGCATGACTGCGCGCTACGACAGTAAAGGTGCCTTGGTGGTCGAGGCTGCCAGCGAGGTACCACCGCCACAGTCGACATCAGTAGCAGCCTCCCCGGCGCAACCGCAGGCTCCGACGTCACCGGCGCCATCCCCGGCAGGTGCGGGAGTAAGTGTGGACGAAGCGAGTCTGCTTAGGCTGAAACCGAACATGCAGGCCGCAGTGCGTGCTGTCTTGTCCGGTGAGTCGCGTATCGAAGCTGCTTATAAGCATCATGTAAACCGCACCAGTCTCGGACAACACTTGCTGAAAATGGGTGTGCGGTGTCGAACGTTGTCCCACACACCGACGCGTGGGCCGGAGGCCAGCCGACAACAGTCCAAAGAATCAGAAACTGGCTCGGGGGCTAAGGAGGTCGCCAAGACGGCAAAGACTGAACCTCAAACAGAGCCAGAGACGAACCCACAGGCTGGCCAACCGGCGGGCACTGAGCCGGCGAAATCGGGATCGAACCCATCGACTGTCGAAGAGAAGCGACTCGCCGGGCTGAAGCCGCAAATGGCGGCAGCGGTACGTGCAGTGCTGGCCGGTTCATCGCGAGAGGAAGCAGCCGAAGCGCACGGAGTCTACTCAGGAAAACTACTTCGGGTGCTGCGCTGCCGCGATCTGATCACGCCGGCCGTCTCTAAACTGACGTTGACCCGCACTCCCGCCGGTTACCAAGTGAGCCGTGCGGTGGCGACGGGCAGCAGCGGTAAGGACGGCCTGCCGCTTCGTGAGGCAGTGGAACGCGTGCTTCTTTTGGGTGAACAAGCCAAGGATGTTGCGAGTTCAGAGTCGCTGGATGCGAAGCTGTTGGAAAAGCACTGCCTTCGTCGACCGGCGCCGGAGCCACACTTCCACGCCGTGCGGGACGAGATTCCTGTGATGTATGCAGCGATGGCTCTGTGTGACCAAGGTTGGGATATCAACACCGACAGTCTGCGATGGATGTTCGAACAGTTCCTCGAGAAGTCGGGCCAGTCTGTGCCTCCGGCAGACTCCGACTGGCTCAGTCTCGAGACTTTGTACTGTCGCTGGCCTGAAGTGCGCGATCAAATCTGTACTGATCCAGGCAAGCCCACTGCCGAATTCGAAGCCGCATTCCTTCAGGCTCTCCACACTGTCTGTGACGAATTAGAGCTGAAACTCGGCGAGGTGGTGCTACACGACGCGGAGAGCGCACGACGACGACGTACACGAGAGGTACTCCCTCTACCTGTAGCAGCAGAGCCACCGCCTGGTCACATCTGGGACAACCGAAATGGTACCTGGATACTGGAGAAAGACGGAAAGCAGCAGGCGTTCTTCGAAGTGGATACAATTCTGGCGAGGCGAGAGGCGGCGACTGAGGGCGGCCAGCCAGAATACCTCATCAGATGGAAGGGCTACACCGAGTGAGTATGAATAGTCATGCACACTGTTCACTGCCGAGGTTATGGTTCCAATTGGATTTAACGTAAATGTAGTTCTTCAATGTGAGCTCTTGTTATTTCATAGCCTGCATTCCACTGAGATACTTAGTCAAGAGTTACAGATGGTGCCACCCAACTTTTGTATTTGTGTACCAAGCTGCAGGCGAGGACAGTTTAAAAGCCTCTTCACTTCTCGACCCTTAAAGGTCTTTTTAAACAGCAACGTAACTGGCTTTGAATATTCATTTCCTACGATGGCCATTCAAGTTCTCGGGTGCTATATGGAGTGTTGACGCGATGTTTACTGTCGAGAATACTACTTGCTGATTTCGCGGACTTCTGAAGCTAGCCTGCCATCGAACTTTTAACACGACTCACTTGGAAGTGTGACCCCTCAGTTGTAAGAACAGCGGAATTTACCTTCGCCCGCACCGTCCATTCACAGCGCATGGAACACCTGGGAGCCCGAGGGCAACCTCGAGTGTACCGACACGCTGGCGGCCTTCCAGCGTCGCTGGGACACGGTAGCGGAGGAGGAGCGCCGGCGGATCATAGCCGAGTTCAGCCCCGTGGCTCCCGCCCCTGGCCTCGCCCCGGCGGCGGCAGCCGCAACGCCGGCAGGACAGCAGCGGAAAGGGCGCCCGCCAAAAATGTAAGCATCGGTTGCAATTTGGTGTGTCCTAGGGGGTCTGTGCTGTCTGTTTTTTTGACTGTCGGTTTTGAGAGGTGACATTGGCTGTGGTCTTTTGGTGTGATTCGAGGCTTGTCTATCCGTCTTCTACCGGGAACTTAGTTTTTGGAATGAATTGTTTGGCTCGGTTCCGTGAATGGCTGCGCTCGATGAGTACATGAATTTGCAGCCCGTCTTAATTCACATTCATATAGCATATGATCTAGTTCTACGGTGCAGTTAGACTCTTTATAATAATTGTCCTAATATGTGCCAATCAGCTCGTTTCTCTGCCGTAAGATGCTGCTTTCTGAGCTCCTCATAACGTATCATTGTCTGAATCGTCTTTTACCGTGCGACACCATGTCAGTGTCTAATTTGCACAGACCGTGTCAGTTTCAGTGTCAGTGCCCCCCTCTCGTGTTGGTATCAGAGCTTCTGAGTGTTCCATTTTTCAGACTTTTTGGTGGCAAATCACACCTAATGGGGAAAATATTTTCATCCCTAAGATATGAATGACCGACTTTACTTCATCTCTGAAAACAGTTTCATGTATTTCCAACAGCCAGTTTACATGTCATTTGACAGTTGATGCACCCACGGCCACATCCTTGTGTTTCACAGGCCCTGTCAAGATTCTGACATGAAATCCTGGTTTATCAGTTGGCATACAAATTGGCATTACACCATTTTGCAAATATACTTCGGTTATTTATTTCCTTTTTTTCTCATCCTAGGATTTTTTTTTCTTCATCGGCACACCCAACCAAAATCCTATTTTAGAACACTAGAGCTTCATCATTATCGCCATATCAATGCCAGTGTCATTAATGCATTTCATCTGATCCATTCTCGCTCTGTCACAGAGGACAGCAAACGCTGGATTCCATGGCCGCAGCTCGACAAGGCAAGGCAGAGAAGAGCGCCTCAAAACTCCGAGTGCGCACAGATCTGATGTCTTCGACCTCCTCACCTGCCACTGCCTCACCCGCCACCGCTGCTACGCGTGCTGCCACGCCTACAGCTACGCCAAGCGCTGCCTCCACGGAATCAGTCGAGCCGTCGCCGTCTGCTGATGAAACTCGATCGCGACGCTCAACCAAAGCACGTGCCAATGCGCTGTTCAAGCAGTGGCTGGTGTCACCGAAGCTGGCCACGAAAAAGGCGGTGCAAGAGTCGCTCGCTGATACTCCGCCAGCAGCCGGTACGTACTTCTGGGTTGTCGGCGTTATATGCCTTGGGCTTATCATCTTTAGCTTGAACTGAGTTATTGGGTCGAAAGTTAGAGGCACGTATACTCGTAAAGCTCGGTTAGCACGTTAGTGGTGCTTTATTATATGATCTAGCCAAGTGTGAGAATGCCTACCCAATGACTTGCATCAACAGCATGGTATTTAATTTGGTAAAATTAAATTTGTCCAGACTCGTCTAGTTGCAGCCGAATGTTCTTCCTCTTTGCTTTGTATGATTTCTCCATGTGCGCTCTGGAAATCTCCAGATGGACTGCGACTCACCGTCCATCTGTACTGCGTCCGACTGATCCGGTTGTTTCTTCCCACAGGTGTGGACGACAGACCACCTCCCGGGATCCCAGCAACTCCTTCGCCATCAGTCAGCACCAAGACGAGCGCTAGCACAAGCGCTAGTGCCACTAGCGCCACCAAGGGCCGATATCGTCCAAACCTCAGCGTCTCGCGCGCCCTCTCAGGCAGTTCCAGGGGCGGTCAGCGGCGCATTGACGAGTTTGTCAGGCGTGGCAGCAGCGGCGGCGCTCGGCTGGGCCGGGCCCCTTCGCCACCGCCACCACCGCCGCCACAGAAAGTGCCGAAGGTGACACCGCCTTCGGCTTCCGCTTCTGAAGACAGCGAGAAAGGCAGACCGGAGCGGCGAAGCTCGACAGAGTGCAGCCGACCGCCACCGGTACCGGTTGAAAAGGAGATCATTGATAGCGAGACAGAACGACTGAGGAAGCTGGATGAAGAGCTGAGGCTGTTAGATGAAGAGGAGGCAGCTGCTGGGGTTGGCGCGGAGCCGGTGGATGATGGAGCTGTAGATGGGGACACTGACGAGGGAGAGGATGAGACTGACTCGGGAGAGACTGCTGAGACTGTCTCGAAAGATCCTGAGGAAGCGAGTGTGTCGAAGCGAGCAGACGTGGAAGAAAGGGTTGAGACAATAACTGGAGAAAGTGCGAATGATAAAGACAATAGAGATAGGAGATCGAGTAGAAGGGTATCTGAGAGTGAATCTAGGACCTCAAAAGAGGCAGACAAGAGAAGAATCTCAGGGAACGTTGAAAGGGTGGAAAAGGAGAAGGTGGTGGAGAAAGACGGGGACCAAGAAAAGTCGGAAACTGATTCTACCGCTGCAACGGGATCCGAGACCAAGAGGCGAACCAGAAGAGACAGCGAGAGAGAAAGGCGAGCTTCGATTGACGCGAGGAACGAAAGGAGGATCTCAAGAAGCGTTGAAAGTGAGAAAGTATCTTCAGAGGGCGCTGAAAGCAAAGGAGATGATTCTACCAAAGATGATAAGGACAGGAAGCCCTCAGCGGAAGCGGGAAAGAAAAGGAAGGCTTCAGAGGATAATGAGAAAGTGGTTCCGGAGGAGGTCAGAGGCAAAAGAAGAGCTTCAAGAGAAGTTCTGAGCGAAAGGAGAGTTTCAGTAGACCTCGAGAATAGCAAGAAGGCTGATAAGGAACTCGAGAGGAAAGAAGTTTCAAAGAAAGTTGAGATTGAACGAAAGGTCTCAAAGAAGCCCGAAGTCTCAGGGAAGACGGAGAAGGAAGCAGTGGGCGAGAAAGGTCCGGCGAAGGACACGAGTAACAAAGAAAGTGACACAGTTAAAACCAAGGATGTTGCGACGCCTCCACTGAAAGACAAACCCGTGCCCGACTCGATCCCGACGCCTTCAGCCGCCTCGGTGACAGTCCAACAGCCCGTGGTGGTGATAAAACGTGGCAGAGGTCGGCCTCCAAAATCTCCAGAGAAGCGGGCTCTTCAGGAGGCAAGGCTGGCCGCTCTAGCCGCATCTCCTGCGGCGGTAAACCGACCCAAACCAGCTCGTCTTTCCCTACCGCTGGACGACGATGTACCGCTTTCCAAGCGACGTCGACCGTCCGGAGCTGACGAACCCCAGACCCCAACACCTGACTCAGCGGTCGGGAAACGTCAACGCAAGGTGCCGAAACGTTTCCTCGACGGCGAGACTTTACTCTGGGGAGAGACCCCGCTATCTTTGATGGCGAGCCATCCAACCGACGACGGCGTGGACCCTTCGCCAGCTGCCAGTCGTCCGTCTAAGCCATCCCCGGCCTCGCAGCCAGCAGCGTCCAAACCAGCGCCTCGCCCGGCGGCGGCGGAGCCCGATTCTCCACGCCCCATCACCTTCGAGCCTCCGAGCAAGCGGAAACCGATCGTTTTCGTGTCTCCGATCAGGAAAGACGGCAGCACACCAGCGTCAGCAAGCGTTGGCTCGACCGCTCGCAGACTCGATCTGGATAGCTCGCAGGCTGGTCAAGCCACAAAACGTAAAATCATCATCCGGACGGTGGGTAAGCCGTTCAACAAGCCAGCACCAAAGGCACCGTCTCCTGACCCACCGATGATGATTCTGGACGAAAGTGCGGATGTGGTCATCGAAGATGGGCCGGTGATAATCGACGAATCTGGTCAGCTGGTTCCGGCCCGTTCGGTTCCCGCTCCTGAACCGACGCCTCCACCGCCAGCTCCGGCTCCCGTCAAGACTGTGGTCGTAACCGTCCCGCCGCCAACCCCCACGACACCCGCACCCGACGTGCCTGTGAAAAGGCGACGTGGTCGGCCGCCGAAAATTCGCCTACCTGATGGATCGACTCCTGTCTCTTCGCCTTCTGCCGCTAAAACACCGGCGGCCAGTCTGCCTCCTGGCAAAACGCCCCCGCCGGGCAAGAAGCGTGGAAGAAAGCCAAAGCCGAAACCTGAACCCGAGCCGGAGCCTGTACCTGAGGAAGTGGAAGAGCCCGAAGAGGTCACCCTGGATCTCAGTTCGCTGGTGGACCCGCTGGCTGGAGCAGATCTGGACGCTGATGTCGGCTATTTTGACGTCAATGGACAGTTTGTTGAGAGGAGTCCCGTGAAGGCGGACTGGTCGGCCGGCGGAGCGCAGTTCGGACTGGACGCGGCGGCCGGTGGTGATCCAGGTGAGTTCAAAGAACTGGGATTGTGTGGTGAGGGACTTGGGTTGTGGGATATAGTGTCTTATGTGTCGGTTGGCCAGTTGGTTTGTCTGATTTGTATGTACTTTGGTTTGTGAAACGGTCCATTGTCTGTCTGTTGGAAGAGCGATTGGACTTTTGCGTGGGTCAGCTATTTATCTGCTTTTTGAAAATAAGTCGAACTGTTGTCTCGTTTTTCTTTCTTAAATCGTTTGGACTTTCATTGATACGTATTTGCGGGAGTTGGTATGCTTGTCTGTCTGTTTTTCTTTCAGGTCTGTCTCCAGCAGGTCATTCGTTGACAATCGACACGTTTCTGGAGTACGCCGTTCTCGGTGTAAAGTAAAACTAATGATAATCTACCCGACGTTGATACGTAATTATGAACCCAACATCTGCATAGGGTTCGAACTCAACGCTGTAAGCTACAGATTCGTCGGTAGGTATTCGCCAGAATGTTCTATGAATACCCGCAGGCCATAAATGTGAGTAGTGCAGCTTTCCCTCCTTCGTCCAATAAATTTTTGCTGGATTTTTCGACTGACGTGCTGATGCTTTTCGCAGGTGTCCTGGACAGTTCGCTGGTACTAGTTCACCCGGACCCCCAGCTGGACGGACTTTGTATAGGCGGTGAGGCAATCTAGGCCCACTGCATCAAAGAGCAGCTGACGGAGGCGCAGACCTTGCGCTTCCGATAACGTCGTCAGAGCCGCTGGCAAGAAGACTGACGCCAGAAAACTCGCCGGCATGGACTACTGGCCGGTGGATCTAGCGTCAGGCACTTCTAGCCGAGTGAGATGGAGGCCAGAGACACTACTATCTCGCAGATACTGTTGTCATATACTACTGGCCCTTGGAGGGTGACGTTTGAGACGTCTTACATAAAGAAAGCTGCCGTACTGGAGCCTGTACAAAAGTTTGCGCTCGACGCAGAGTGTAGACTAACGTTGACCTGTATCACTGAAATCAGTGGGTGTGAGGTCGGGGTGGGGAGGGAGGGAGGGGCTGGGGGTAATTTGCGCGTGTGACTGTGACGAGGCTGTAGACCTATGCATTAGTCGTGCGCCGCCACGTTAGGCGGCTTCTTGTAGTCGTTTAAGCAGTGTCGCTGGCGACCGTGCAGCCTCCCATTCGTATGCTATTTTTGTGTCCTGCGGTCGAGATGCATTTGGTGAAACTGAGCAGTATTTCATTATGGAACTACCTGTCTGTCTGCGCTGATCACTGCTGTTGTATAGCGGCGCTCACTGTCGTTTCGCTGTAGCGATAATACACACAGTGCACTTGTTTTTAACCGTCTTCGGTTTGTGCTGACAGTTCGGTATTGCCGCTATAGGTGTCGCTATCGTTGCCGGTATTGACAACTGTTTCGTCTGCTCCGAAGGTCCGCAATGATCGCACCGGAGCCTGGCGACAGTGCGGTAATCGGCAGAGGTGCCACGAAAAGCTGGAAAAGGAATAGTTTCGGACGTTGTTTTCTTCGCCAGGATTCTGGTACTTGTAAGGATCCCCACTGCTGCGTGTTTGCGAAAGTGTGTCTGAAAAGAGCCGATCATTGGATGGATGGATCATTGGATGGTCTGCAGGACTGGTCCCGCAGGGGGTTGGCTATCGCTTGAGATGTTTCGAAAGTCGGCCCTCAGCCTCGCGGCGGCCCCGGTCTCGGCCAGCAAGAAGAGTCGTTCCCCCTTGGCCCCGGCTTGCCATGTGGTCGATGGCGACCTAATCGGATTACGGATGAACAGGCGATACTTTTGTTGGTTTTCGTTGTTCTTTTGTTATCCAAGAGCATTTTCGCTAGGCTAGGCGAACCACCAATACCGCAGGACGACTGGATCCTGGAGGTTGAGCTCCCCACCATGCGGAGCCAGACGCGGTGGCTGGGCAACACGCCTCTTTGGTCAGGCGTTCTGGAACTTAAGGACGCTCAGTGTTGCGTCGTTTTTTACTGGGAGCCATTCTCAGTCGTGCTGGAGGCGGCGATGGAAACGTCTCTTTGGCGGACTTTGGGCATTTGTCCTCGCCTTCCGGCGGTGGGGCTGATCCGCCGCTGCCCCTGGTGGTGACTCCGCAAGGCGTTACGGGAGGAGCCGGTATTCAACTCATCGGGTTGACGAGACATTCCTGCTCCCCTTCGGAGGGTGCCGCTAATTTCGAACAGTCAGATCGGTCACGGTCGTCCTAGGGCCTAGGCATTCTAGTGCCAGTGCCTACAAGGCCTAGAACTAGAACCTTGTAGCCAGTGGCTACAAGGCTCAGCGACTGAGCTGGCGCAGACGAATCCCTTCTCATGGATGCTGTTCCTAACTTCCGTTTCTCCGCTCCAACTGCGGGTCAGAGTGTTCAGACCAATCATTCGGCTTCGCCGGATTCTCGCTCCTCGAACTTCAAATTATTTACTCCATCAAGGCTGCCAGAAACATGTCGCTCAAAGAGACCCGGGAGGTGGAAATGCCAAAGTCACTCGAAGACCTCGTATGCCTAGGATGCAATAAACTCTTCCGCCACCTTCCAGATGAGTGTAGCACGGCTCGTGCAGCTGCTCAAGCGATTCGGCCTGACCGTTGTAGCCACTGATGACTCAGCGGATCCCTCGGCGCCTTGTGCGCCGCCGAGTGACACAGAGCAGGCTGCTCAGGAGTCAGTGTGGGGTCCACTAGCAGCCCCGCCCAGCGGAGAAGGAGATGGGTGGGCGGGGGTCCATCGCCGACAGGGTGGTCGGCGCCCCCCGGCGACGGGTATAAGCCACGGGGACACCCACTTCGTTCCGCCCCCGACCGCCTACTTAGCTTTGAGTCAGTTTTTTCTTCGATGACAAAAAGTCTACGATCGGGGAGAGACCAGAGACAAGCAAAAACGGCAAACAGACTTCCGAAAGGCGATACGCATGAGCATTGTTTTTTTTTTTTTTTTTTGTCGGATGAGTTGAAAAGCGGGGAAATCCCGATATATCTGCCTAAATAGTAAATTCAGAAGGAGCGGGCAAGGAGAGGAACTAATTCAATTGTACGAAGGCAGTTGCTTATGAAAAAGGTACAAGAAAGTAAAAACAGCTTTAGTCGAAGAATTAGAAAAAAGAAGTTCAAGTCACTGATTTTAATTGTAAATTGAAATCATGCTTGGCCGGTTCACTGCATGTATTGTGTAATGTGTACACAGCACACAGTACCTACACAGCGCTGGTCCGACGTCTCGCCCGTAGTGTCCCCCCCCCCCCTCCCACCGCCGTCGCTGTGCCCGGCGGCTGGCATGCCCCTCCCCCCCCCTCCCCCACTGGTATATAAACTGGCGTCGGCCGGCGGCTGCCCGTCTCCACCATGTATCGTCCGCTGCTGCTGTTCGCGGCGCTTCTCTGCCTGGCTTCGGCCGGCCGCGTGCCTCGTGGAGTGCCGGCTCTCAACAATACCTGCCTCTGCGTGCCCTTCTATAACTGCGAGGATGGCCAGCTCATCACCGATGGCGCCGGTCTGCTTAACCCCAGGTAAACGGCACTCCCGATTGACTGCTCTTTCCCAGGTAACGACAAATGACTAACCCGACCGTACAACCCCAGGTAATGACTAACGAGCGTTGGGGCTACTCAACCCGTAACGACTGACGACTGAGTGCTTAGCCTTATCGGTTATGAGTTCCAAGTTCATGAGACACTTTTATCGATTATTGAATGTTCACTGAAATCCTCATTGCTCAATCTAGGTTTTTTAATCCGCTCAATTTTCATGGTGCATTTTGAGAATATCAAACTGACAAATGCAAATAGGTACCACGGTCCACGACGACCCTGATCGGCCTGTGTCCGTCTCATTCTGCGACCGATGCATGTTCCCGTCTCTCCCATCCCTCGAACAATTTGCGTCGTTCTTGTCCCGTATTGCGTCTCTCTGATCCGGTGTCATCGATTTATTTTGTCGCACTCGCCCTGCCAACAGTTTGTGTCTATCTGCTTTATCATGTCCTCATCAAATAAGTAGTAACCAATGTCTCCCGCTCCCCTCATCTCACCCAGGTTCGGCCCTCGTGACAAGTGCACCGATTTCAACATCTGCTGTAACGACGAACAGACCATCAAGAAGATCGAGGCCAAGCCAGGCGTGGACAAGAGTGTGATGACAACCATCAAGGACGGCATCAGCGAGCTCTTCAGCGGCGGCTCCAAGCCTTCCGTCGGGGCTGGAGAGTGCGTTTGCGTCGCTTTCTACCTATGCGACGGAGGAGTTCTGTCGAAGGAGATTGCCAACCAGGTCGACCTACGTCAGGTTTCCTCCACTGGTCGTTGCAATAATGATAATGAGCAGTGTTGTTCTCTGCCGCGCTCGGCTGAGCCGACCGCGCCTCTGGTTCCTGCGTGCAACTGCACGAGTCGTCAGTACTGCAGCGAGAGGGATGTCCAGCCTCTGAGGCTCGGCCAGGTCGCCTGTCGGTCCGATGAGGTAAGTGGCTTCCTAATCCATGAGTAATGAATGAGTATACACTGATATCCTCTGGCTCAGGCCTCAGGGATCCCCTACGATGTAGGTAACCCGGGGCTCAGTTTCTGATGTTTCCAGCATTACCAGAATTTGCAGTTCCCTTTGTTGACATACCGATTTATTTTCGGCCAATCAAAAAATTATTTGTTTTGGGTAAATTTCTACATGGGTGTCGTTAATAGTAAATTGCATAGCCGTTATACATGGATTTTGATGGATGGTATTGATGGAAAGATTGGCATTTAAATAATTTAAATAATAGCAACATAATGTCTAACCGCCATTATGTCAGCCTCGGGATCCCTCTTCGACCTCCGCATTTGCCCATTTCCCGCACTGACTTCCCGTTCTTTTGACGTTATCTCCAGGTCTGCTGCAGTAACCCGCAGGTCCCCACGGGCGGATCGGGCACTGGAGCCGGTGGTATTGTACCCGACACGGAACGGCCCGACTATGACCTGTGGAAGTTCTGCAAGTCGTACCCACTCAGCGTGGCCTGCGTGAGGTCGCGGCAGGTACGAGGGTTTTACAAGTGCATAGAGGAGACTAATGTGCTTAGAATATTGATTTGTTGTCACTGAATGGACAGAAAATCAGGTAAAGGTATTGTTAGCGATTAGTGTCAATATTTTTTTGCCGGCATATTTTTAACTTGTGCTTCTTTTACGTTATTTATCTAAGTACGGGTAGTTCGGTTCAGTTTATGGATAAATAAACGTCAGTCATGTGACCGTATGATGTCGGCTTAGATGTTTATCAATAAAGAAACAATTATTATTTTCTTTTCTTGAGCCAAAAGTCAAGTAATTCGACAAAAAAATCCAGGCATTGTAAAGTACGCCGAATGCATGCTGAACCGGTAAAATCACGAATAATTTGCGCCCATCTGGCCTTGGCCATGAAATGAACCCACAGCTCACGTTGCAGCCATGAACTCCGGATATTATAAACGTGAAGTCATCTTCGTGTGCTAAACTAACATTCGCAGTTTGAATTCAAATTCAGTCAATGTGCGCCAGCGTTCAAACGTAGCTGGGTTTTCCAAGGTTAACTTGACTAGGGTGCAGCGTGAATGCAAACATCCTACTGCTGTTGCCAGGGAGCTAATGAGATGTAAAAATAATGAGTCAGCATTTGCCACTTTATTACTGAGGTGTGGTTCCCGAAGCTTCAGTAATAAAATGCAGGGTCCTTGGTCAATGGTGGCCATTGATATTTTCGCTTGGGGGTAAGAATGTCGTTGCGTTGCCAACGCTATCGAAATGCGATGACGGTATCACAGTTGTTTGACTTTTCATAACGGACGTTAGGTCATCTGTAGGCAGACGGATTATTTTTTCTCGATCTTTTTCCTGCGTCTGTTGGTGTCGTGCACACAGAAAAATATTGACACCGTTAGCGGTGTAATTGCACAGTACATATCTGAGCACTTGAGGAAAGTTAATTTAGTCCCTTCCCCGCTTAAATTACTCGCGCTTCTAAATGAACACCAGGAAGAAGGTAATAGAACACTGTTAGGAGGGTTGGGTGTTTTACTACATGTAGCAAAACACCCAACCCTCCTAACAGTGTTCTATTACCTTCTTCCTGGTGTTCATTTAGAAGCGCGAGTAATTTAAGCGGGGAAGGGACTAAATTAATTTTCCTCAAGTGCTCAGATATGTACTGTGCAATTACACCGCTAACGGTGTTAATATTTTTCTGTGTGTGGGCACGCGTTTATCGGTGTAAATGCGTGCGTGCCTGCGCTTGGTCCTGTCTTGGCCTGTGTCATTGTATGTGTATAAACAGTTTACATATACACGAGTGTATAAATCCGAGTGTGTGTCAATCTTTGTATATCTGTTCCTCCGTCTGTGCCAGTGTGTTATAATCCCAAGGTTGCGTTGTTGACTGAATGTCTCCCTCGGTCTGTTTCAGATCACCGGCAGACCGACCCTGCTGCCCGCCAAAAACTTCGACCCTGATCTGGATGCGGACGAGCTCAAGTAAGATATACTCTGGCATATCACTTTGAGAAACAAACATATGCAATCATCAGATAAACGTGCCGCCGGTCGGGATTCGACCTTTTATTGCTCGTCGTGGAATGCTTAGACATTGAATATCTACCTTTTACTTGCTTGCATTCTAAAACATATTTGGATTTATTCAACGGTACCTTTTTTGTTTGGTTATTTCTGTGAAAATTAGCGCTGCCTGAATATTGGTCACCGGATTTAGGCAACCGATTTCGCCTTGAGCAAAAAAAAAAAAAAAATCGGCCATGGCGATTTGGGGATGAGCGTAAACGCAAGCCGTGTAACTGTAGACGGCCATGCACTGGAAGGATTATTTATGTTTAGTTACATAAGTCTGCTTATCTCCAACTCAAGAAGACAAGAATCAAGTATTTTATTTCATGTAGAAGCATAGCTAACTTGTTGCAAAACCATGCTATGACACTCGATGCTTTGATAATTTAAAAATTGTCATATTATTTTAAGCATACATTAGATATTTTAAGACAATTCTAGGGAGACATTCGGCCTTGACATTTCAGCGTCAAGCGACGGTACATTTAGAACTAAATGTGTCAGGAATTATGTGAGAACAAATCACTTCTGAAAATGTTGGCGTGACCCGTCTTTCGAGACGTTAGACCGTGTCTTCGCGGCGAGCGGTGAAGTCTGGTGTTATCACTCATCATGTTTGTTTGAACCGCCGGGATCTGGAGAATCCAGCGCTCTTGTGGGCTCTCCGAATCCCACGGGACCTGCCGAGTCTGAGGGCTGGAAGCTGTTTATTCAGGCTGATAGATCTGCCACTGAGTGTGGTAGTGAAGATGGGTGACAGGCACCCGGCAACGCCCTCTATCATCTGTTATCTGCCCTCCAAACCGACCTGTGCCCTCCGCTTTACGTCCTCCATCATTATCTTCCACTCTCTTTTGTCACCCACCTTCTGTCCTCCATTATTTGCTCTCTGCCTTATGTTCTCTATCTTCTCGCCATCACCCCCCGCCATCTGTCCTGATCCCCCTCTCGGTCGGGCTTTGCGTATACAAGTACCGGGTGGCCCAAAAAAAACGTTCCGAACTTTGGAGGCCTATATCTCAAATTCTAGTGCGAATAACGAGCCAAAATTTTCATCAAGTTTGCGTCACTTCTTTGCGCATTGGTATGCCAAATTATAACACTGTACCATCATTTTCAAGCCAGCAATCTTATGTTGAATTAAGTAAGACATTTTTGCTTTTTTTGCCGTTGTTGAACGGTAGTAATGATTGGCTTAGACGTACCATGTTAGAAAAAATAGAAAAAATAGAACACGGGAATGATACCAGCACGTGTGTTGTTATTTTTAACCCTATTCCTGGCGGGCTCCGCCGGGACAAGAAACTGGCGGGGGGGGGGCCGATTCGGCCCCCCCCTGAGATCTCGAGAACGAAGCAAGATAGCGACAAGCGGTAAACGGCATCGGATACGCACGGCCAAGATCTACAATTTTTACAAAGGTCATTTTCAGGTCAGGTCAAAGATGACGTCACAGGGGTCGAAAAAGTCAAAATGGCGGCACTAGATATGGAGAGAGTTTTTCTCGAATAACTTTCGAATTAGTCAAGATAGGAACAAACTAAGGGCATCATCGTGATCCTCTCGTCAATCCGCATCGAATGATATATATGTTGACCTCGAAAGGTCAAGGTCAAAGGTTGACCTCAGGTCACGTGACCTCGAGGTCATCATGTATATCATTCGATGCGTCTTGACGAGCTGAACACAATGAGACCATCCACGCGTCTGTATCTTGTTCCTGTACGGAGTTATTGGCCAAAAACCTTTGGTGACCTTTGATGACGTCACATGACCTCACAGCTGCCCAACAGCAAAACAGACCTCAAGGTAGTGAAGGTTGATCGTATATGAAGTCATGTATGCTATATGGGGCCATTCCGACCCGTTTTAGTGGTAAAAACAGGGAGTTGATTTTTCCCCCATTGACTTATAATGGGGAGGTCGCGAAATTGACCTGACCTTAGGTCACCGATATCAAAATTCCGAGATATACAAATTGCACATACTGGTACCCTAACTAAACCCTGAAGAGAAGAAATTGATCGGTCAAAAACTCTAGCTCTGGCGTGATTGCAAACTTTTCTGAGGTAGCGTCACCAAACCGCCTCTGGTGACCTGACCTGAGGTCAGATCAACTCAAAATTTTCAGACATGTTGCGTAGAAGCCTTTTAGGAAAAGTCAGAAAATTTGAGCTTCCTAGCTCAACGCGTTTGGGAGATATAACCAAAAAACCTCAGGGGGGGGGCTCCTGAGGCCCCCCCCCCCCGCCAGGAATAGGGTTAATATTTCTGTCCCACTTATGTACCAAATATCCAAATACTAAGCCAAAATTGTGTTAATGGATGCCATTCGTTTCAAAACAAGTTCTGTTTCGAGCAAAAGGAGTGGCACGGTGCATGGGTTACAGCTGATCGCCCTCCTTTCAAGATCAAATAGTAAATCGACCGAATAAGGAAAAAAGCTAGAGGGAATGTGTCACCCTGAGGCCTGAACCATCAATGAGACTAGTGCCAGTAGCAGTCATGGCTACAGGCCGTGGTGCCGAGATGGAAGTGGCCCGTTCACTGGCATTTTTAGTAAACATCTGAACAAAAAAGTGATTTTTACATGGCATGCTAGAAACACAAACCGGTTAAAAAGTAATTAACCGAATAACATAAATATCATACCATTTACTGAAAATATATGCCGCATTGACTATTGGAAGTTTCAATCTTGTATCTTTATCACTTTCTGAGAAATATTGATTTAAAATTGGGAACGTTTTTTCTGGGCCACCCGGTATATATGAGTGTGTCCGACGCAGTAGATTGTCAAATGGTAAACGCGAGGACCTTTTACAAACCGAGTACAAATTCCAGCGGGACGCCCAGTGCCTGTTTTACTGGTGATATGGGACAGAAAACAGACGTGAAGATAGACGATAGTATAAACGTGAACGCTGCTACTTCGAAATGCATTTATTATTTTGTTTTGCGTGTAAATAAGATAATGAAAAATGAATATACGAGAATATCCGGTAGTAGCATCAAGTAAAAACAGGTAATTGCATCAAACGACCTACCCAAATACCAAGTTTTCAGTAGTAAGCTAACATCTCATTTCCGTTTCAGCAAGGCGATCGGCCGCTGGGACGCCACCGATTCGGTCCTGATCGACATTCTGACCCGACGCACCTTCGAGCAGCGCTACCTCATCGCGCAGGCCTACTACCGGAAGTCCGGCCGGGTGAGAAAATGGTCTTCTAACTCGCGGTAGACGCCTAGGACGAGAATCGAAGAAGTGTCCTAGATCCTGCGCTTTGATTACGAAATAGCATCTTTCTTTGGTTATTTTTGAACCGGTTTAGCGGTAAAATGCATAATAGTATAACTTCCCATCTTTCTTGTCTTCTACCCAAAATCAGAGGAAGCAAATGGTGTGATCTCGATTTCCTGATCGCATGTTTTCTCTAGAGAGAATAGGGCATAATATCTTTCCTTTGCATCGGCATACAGTCGATGTTCAGAGTAAGTTTAAATAGAGATCATTAGCATCCAGTACAAAGCACAAACAGCTGTTACATATGTTTTCACTTCGTAATACATCACTCAAACATCCCGCCTGACCCCAGACTGACTTATCACGCCCGTTTCAGAACCTGGCCGATGCCATCTCGTCGACAACTCGCGGCCACTTTGACGACCTGATGGTAGCGTTGGTACGTAACGCCGGCTACTACGAGTACCTCGCCGAGGAGCTGCGTGACGCCATGCACCGCGCGGGAACGGACGAGGACACCGTGCTGGAGACTCTGATCAGCAGCACCAGCGAGGAGATTCAGATCATCCGCCGACACTACAGCAGACGTGAGTATGCACGTGAAGACGAGCTCTTAGGTGTAATTTTTATCCGCTGGGACTGAGAGCGTGAGATGATGTTTTTCGTACTCCAAGAATGATCCGCATAAAACTTGGCAGAAAGCTCGTTAAAGTACTTGGTCTGTATAGCTCAGAGGTAGAGCATTGGAGCGCTAATCCAAAGGCCCGGGGTTCGAGTCCCCGTACAGCCCAAAATCTTTAACGAGTTTGCAAAAGATGACGGATGTCATCACTGTCAATCGTGGAAGCCGTATGGCTACCCATCTACGCTGGAGTACGAAAAACATCATCTCATGAAGACGAGCTCAGTTTACATGGACTGGGGAGGAGATTGGCGGGGGTGGGAGGAGAGGAGAGGAGAGGAGAGGAGAGGAGAGGAGAGGAGAGGAGAGGAGAGGAGAGAAAAGGGAAGGAAAGAAGAGGAGAGTGAGGTTGAGAGAAAAAGGCAGAGAGCGAGAGAAAAAGCAGAAACAAAGATAAAAAACACAGACAGAGACAGATGTAAAGAAAAAAAACTAGGAAGGCGATTACAGATAACGAACTGAATAACAACCAATGCAGTGTCCAATATATGGCGTTATTTCTTAACTTCGATACCGGCTAGTCGCATTTTGCCAGGCATTACAATTCCACGCCTGTTTCTCTTTACCAGAACTGGGTGTAACGTGAATTTTCTCCCCGCCAGTGTCTGGAAACCCGGACCTGATCGCTGACATCAAGGACGACTTCAGCGGGGACCTTGAGGACATCCTCGTGGCTCTGGTGAACGGATCCCGCGACAACAGCTTCCGCGTCAGCAAGACTCTGGCCGCCGAGCAGGCTGCTGCCCTCTACCAGGCCGGTTAGTATAGGGGTGGTAATTATACCAGGCTGGCTAGTATAGGGGTCACATAAGTACCAAGATGGTTAGTGTAGGGGTCGTATTTGTACCAAGCGGGCTAGTGGAGAGGTCGATAACTTAACATGTCTGGTTGATGTTGGCGCTCATACCAAATGGTTAGGCGGTTGTTCTACCAGGCTGGTTTCATGGCTGGTAAAGTTAGGACGTCATGCTTACATAATTTTAAGATGTTTAGAAGCGCTGACCTCGATCTAGTCCTTAAGAAGTGTGCAACTAACTGCAGCTTTTAATCAAAACTGTAAGTTGTTACTATAATATATGTATGTTACTATGTATGTTTTTATATGTATGTTACTATGTTATAGCATGGTTCGGCTCCTAGGCCGGGAGACCTAACTGGTTAACCAGCAGCGTGTTTCTGTCACCGCAGGCGAGGGTCGTCTCGGCACCGAGGAGGAGACGTTCAAGTATTACCTGACACACGAGAACTATGCCCAGCTGGCCCTGATTTTCTCCGAGTACGAGCAGCTGGCCCGCGAGTCCTTCGCCGAGGCGCTGGAGGATGAGTTCAGCCGACATGTGGAGGACGCTACGCTGGCCATTGGTGAGAAGACACTATGGGTTTCGTGAGAAGACTGGTCTCTTGCAGCGAGAGGCCATCTTTGGGTCATTGGTAAAACACCATGCACAATCGTCAGAGCGTAAGTGAGATTGCACTGAAGTAAGACCCTGGGGCTGGACTCATCGAAGCTAAGTAAGGACTCAGGAGCTTAGTCTGCCTTGATCATAAATGACCAAGCTCATGTGAGCATAATCATGTCGCTTCGTGTTGTACTCATGTGCTGCTAAGCATGCGCACTTGTGCCTAGTTTTCTAAGATATGTACTACCCTAACTCTAACCTCCTTACCCAACCCGTTTTTTCCAGTCGAGGTGACCCGCAACCTGCCGCGGTTCCTGGCTCTACGTCTGCACGATGCTCTCTGGGGCCGCGGACCGCTCTCCAAGGACGACTCCTCGCTCATCCGTCTGATTGTGTCTCGTGCTGAAATCGATCTGGGAACTATTTCCGAAGAGTACTTCACTCTGTACGGCAGGAAGTTGATCGACGATGTTCAGGTGAGGCTAGAGGGAGAGGGAGAGGAGAAGGAAAGGGAGTGGACAGGGAAAGAGGAAGAGAGAGAGAGAGAGAGAGAGGGAGGGAGAGAGAGAGAATGGGCAGGATAGAGGTGGACAGAATGGAGAGGGCCGCCGAGCGGGAAAGAGAGAAATAAGGAATAAGAAAGGGGAGAGTGAAAGTGATGGAGAAAGAGAGATGGTGACAGCCGGGAAGATGAGAGGGACGGAGAGAGAAGGAGGGGTGGACAAATAGAGGGTCTTTGTTCGCTGGATATGCAGTGGGATGAGAATAATCCACGATTCCTATGGATCAAGATTCGAGATAGTCAAGACATTAGACACATAGCCGTAATGTTGCCATGGTTTGATAATAATGATGAAGTCATTGAGAGGACATTTTCATATCTCACACGAACAGTGAACAGTGTTCACTGTTGTTCACTGAACACCTAAGCTAATAGTCTGTCCCCTGCGCCCATTTCTGTTATGTATGTAACTCTCGCTTTATTACGTATGATAGGAGAATGGAACAACACTACGCTTTTTCTATATGTACGTACCCATCCTCACTAGCCGCAAAGCTAAGTTGATAAATTAATAACCCTTCTCTCATTTTCAGCTGAAATCCACTGGTGACTATGACACAGCGCTGTCCCGTCTCCTGGGCGGAAATTGAGAGAGTCGACGCACACCTAAACACCACATCTTTTCGCCGAGGGTCGCTCAAGGCTCAGTACTTGGACCCGTGGCCAAGCTCGGTCGGCCTTTGCGGTGCTGCGTGTTGAAAGTGACAGCATGTTTTGGTAGTGTACTGCAATGATTAGTGTCTGCAATTGGCGGATGAGAATGGCCAGTTTTCTCGCGCGCCCATACTGTTGGCATTACAAATGTCCTTTTTGTGTGTGAAATGGATGTTATGTACAACGACAGAAAGTTGAAATAAAAAAGTTTCACATTATGGTTCGTATCAATTCTCTGGTGATATCTTTAGAGATCGCCGACGACTTGATAGGAAGTCTCTTGCTTGACGCGCAATTGGTCTGGAGTTATGCTGTAACAAACAATTTAAAGGTAGTGTGCCACCTTTGAAAGATTTCCCATTTTATTTTTCCTAGGATAAGAAGCTTCTGTTTTTACCTAATATCGCAAAGAAAATAAAAAATGGGCCTGGAATAGTGCCTTTTTCGCCTAAAAGTTTATCGGTTTTTCGATAAGTATAACAACTGTAGTGGGCTGAGCTGCAAACAGGCGTCGGCAACAATCGCGAATGCGGCGCACATGTGACAATAAGCAAAGGTCATTATAGAGTTACGACGTACGGGAATGAGTTATCAGCTGTCTAATCGTAGACAACACAATGTCGAGCCTTAAACTGTAAGCCTGTATTGGTATTGTTTCTTTTATTTGGCTGTCGAACATTATTCATGGTTTGAAATATGATTTTATGTAAAATAATTGATATGAAAAAGCCGTCTCTTAAGTTATGACCCCATTTCACCACACGCAAGTGGCAGAAATGACAATGATCAGCTGACGCATTTTTCTTGGCCGAAGTCAGAGCGCGCGGCCCGACGCACCACCACCGCACCACAAAGTATGAGCAGAAGCCGCGCCCAAAGCCAGGGCCCCGGTAACGTGAGGTAGCCGAGTCGGGGCAGCGTGCGCTGACCCAAGCCGGGGCCGCAGCTTTGGGCGCGGTCTACCGCATCCCCGCGGGCAGCCCCGGGCTATCACATGACACCGGGAGGACGCGCGGCCCCGGCTTGGGTCAGCGCACGCTGCCCCGACTCGGCTACCTCACGTTACCGGGGCCCTGGCTTTGGGCGCGGTCTGCCGCACCACCTAACAGGCGTGTTCGAAACCGCAGGAGATGATGATGAACGGGTTTATCGAAACTTGATTGGATGAGTATATCGGTAATAGCGATTTCAGTGTGTGCATTTATTGTTCATAGTGTTGTGAAATGTGGTTGGGGTACGACCGACAACCCGTCGGGGCGAATTTCGCACTGGGGTACTCAAAATTTGAAGAATTTAAGACGTTTCCATGAGTTTTGAAGGTATGGATAAGTTCTAAAAATCCGGTTCTCCTTATCTGGGCCATTAACTCCATACGGTCCAGGAAAGCTGGCACACTACCTTTAAAGCGTCCACAATGTCATCGTATCAATTATCAAATATGTAGCTACTGGCCTGGCATGTGGTAAATATCACATAGTTTACATATGATTTTACTTTAATAGCTCCGGTAAATCGAATGCAGCCACGAGGCCAGCAAAAAGGTATAATTGGGCAATGGAAAGAAGATAAGTTCTGATATACTAAAGCAATTCCAAAGCGAGATACTCAACATCAAGAGCTTGGCACGAAGTCTCAGCCGCATATATTGAGTGATAAAACACCATATCTCCAAGCTGTTTCGCGTTCGCGCTCATTTATGAATTAATAATGAAGGCTGAACTCAGTATAGCTGCGTCTGAAATCGCTAACGTCACAAGCCACAACGTGATAGGTACCTTGAATTATTCATGCGAGGAGTTCGACCCATTCAGCCTCGTCATTATGGTAGATGGCCGCATCGTGACTGGCTGATTTCGATGGAGATAGAACTTCGTCACTCTTCCTTGTAAAACAAATGCTAAATCACTGTTCTAAGCATAACATGGGGAGCGTGAGTGTACTGAAAAAGACAGCAGTTCTGGGAAGAGTGTGATTGAAGTCGCAAACGAGGTGTAAATTAAATCAGTTTACGGCAAGGTCTATTGTTGCAGTTTTCGGTGTAGGTAGTCGGTTGGATAAAAAGTATTGTTATCTTATGGATAAAAAGTTGGCTTACAATTAGATACGCATGAATTGTTTAAGAGGAAGTAACTTTCGTTTAACTAGTGTCTGGGAACTTCTTTTGAACATCGTGAGGTGACGAAATGGAAGCTGTCTTTACAATTGAAAAATAAACTTTGGTAGCTGAGCGTCGAACCGTTTATTATTTGGGTTATGCCTATATCGCCTCAATTTCCATTCCTTTCTCATGCTGGACCCGGAAGTAATGAGAATTGGGTGCATTCCTGGGATATGCTTATTTAATATTTAATAGAAGTGTGGCATTGCAAGCCGACCAATGACCATGTGCAATGCTTGTTCCATACAGACGTTTTACGTTCTACAAACACATCGAATGTCTTGCACAATAAGCACATGCTCATTGTTTGGAGGTCACGTTTTCACGACAAAGGCATCACGAGGAACAAGTAGGAGATGCTTAAAGGGACCCTCCCACCTTCAAAAAAGTTTATGAATTGGCATGAAAGTGATGTCGCTCGGTTCAGAAAGAGCGAAAACAAATATCTACCAAATTTCACCGAAAAATATTCACCGGTTTTCAAGATATTAGACTTTTACTTTTGTTTACATTTTTGGGATCTCCGCTGTTTCTAGCGACTTTATTTTAGAAGTGCGGCGTTTGCGGCAGATGTTGCGCGCAAATAGCATATACCACCGCGTGCTACAAAACGTTTTAGTCAAACATTTAAAAATCGTTAGATATTTGCGCTGACGTCACACATTCAGAGGGGTATTCCTAAGCATTAGCCCCTCTGAATCAAAATGCTGCAATTTTGAAATTCAATATTTCCGATTTAAGGCATTTCTCGATGTTGTGAGTGCCGAAACCGGTAATTGTGAGCCAGGGACCCCATTTTGGCTATCTCAACTCAAATCTAATGTTAAGGTGGGAGGGTCCCTTTAATGATTTCTCCCTTCTTGAGTTAAATATCATTACCAATGTAAACCACGCCTAAGTTTCACTCTGCAGTTATCCGGCTAAATCCTAGCAAGTCTTTTCATAATGAACGTAGCCACCTCACCGGTATTCAACATACGGAAGCGACCTCCCTTCCCCTGTGCGCTGGCATCGCCATTGCCGATGTGTTTTCCAGGTCGCCCAAGGTCAGCCCCGCCCCTCCCCGCCTCCACACCGCTGCAGATGGGAGGATGACGTAGGCAACGGGGCGGCTCGCTGGAGGGGTCACAGTCGGTCGCCAGTCTCGTCGGTTGTAGGTAGGCTACTCACCGGTCGTGCTAACAGACGAAGCTATGAACAGAGGCGGCGGATTGGGCTTTCTGCTCGTTGCAGTGGTGGTTGCAGCTGTGGTTCAAATTGGAACAGGTGAGCTGGTTTTCTGAGCTGTGCTGAGAATTTGGGGGGTTGGTTTAGGTCGTTGTTTAGTATGTAAATGTAGCAGTGTGAGGCCAAAGTACCTAAATATATTCATACGCGCTCATAATTATTCCATGGAATGCCTCTCATCGTTTCAATGTCCTGAAAATAAAATCAGTTCTCATCGTATAGCAACATATTTACGGTAAATGTTCGCTTCATATAATCGCCATCTCTTGTCCCTTATCTCGTGTCTAAGTGGAAGCGTCCTTCGCTCCAAGTCATAGGTATGCTACGAGAGTTGAGACCCGCCGTTTGCGGCTGAGTTGGGCGTCCTTTCCGACGTCCTTTATCTCGACGTCCTTTTCCGACTTCCCGGGACAGTCGGCTCGGGCTCCTCAGCACAGGACAGAAATAGTCGCCGGGGTACAGACTAAACAGAGCTGGGCCATCAACAGGTAGAAGTACAACTCGAACTCAAGCACTAAACAGAGCGAATCGAAATAGACAATTTGTTTTTTGGAGGGCAGTGATACTCAGGGTGAATAATTAATTAGCTCTATATGTACAGGCCCTCTGCAAACTGCGTGGTAGGTATTCTTTCTTCGACAAAACCGAGAATAACGCGGATACTATGCTATCGGTCGCTCGGAAATCATAACAGCAAGATGCGCGAGACTCCGCACCTTAGATTGGCATTACCATCGCATTCATTTGCCACCCAGTTTGGCAACAAAACCCAAAAGTTTATATTTGCCCCAAAAACAAACTTTTGCATTTTGTTCCCACACAAGGCATATACTTTGCTTAGTGATATACCCAATCGAAGGAGTAGAGCATGGCGCCTCTGTTTTCAGTGAGTTCCGACCGACTGACAACATTAGTCTTTGAGTTATTACTGGTTTTGTCGAAAAAAGAATACCTACCACGCAGACTGCTGAGGACTGTACAGTGTTCACCTCTACCCACCAGTATAACGCCTTTTGGGGCGAGTAACGGAGCGAGCGAGAGGGTGAGCCTTGCACGTGCGAAATTTCGAGGGGGTACCTCCAGCTGACTTGTGCACGGCACCCTACTAACCGGTCTCTAGCGATGTGCCAAATTTGAGCACAATCGGCCCAGCCGTTCTCGAGATCTGGGAGCGACACCCTGCACGTGCGCACGTGCAAAATGGGTCCCAACTGACTTGTGCACGGCACCCTACTAACTGGTCCGTAACCGTGTACCAAATTTGAGCGCAATCGGATCAGCCGTTCTCGAGATCTGGAAACGACCCCTGCACGTGCGCACGTGCAGCAGCACCCCAACTCTGGCACATGGATATGCAGTGCCTAGTGGGTGCCTACCTACATGCCAACTTTCAGCGCAATCGGCCCAAGGGCGGCGCCACCGTGGGGGCAGTGGGGGCAGACTGCCCCCACTGGCAGGAGGCCGTGGGGGCAAGACTATGTTTTTGCCCCCACAAAATTAGGCTGATGTTGAAAAGGGAACAGAAGACCGGTGCAACATTCATGATAGGCGGTTATAAAAGTACGCCTGTTTTTGACGGTCCCCGTATCAAATGCATCAGCAGAACGTTCGTTTTCAGACCGTCTGTCGCATATCGCCTACTCCCACTCATTCTCCTACTCATTTTCATTCACCAGAAGGCTGCCCTCGCGCGAGCTTGACCCAGTGGCGCGGGAACCGGGGGGGCTAGCGGGGGCTGAGCCCCCCAGCTTTTCGGCTGGGGGGGGGGGGGCTCGTAATGTATTTGAGCCCCCCCAGCTGGAGGAATCGAAATCGGAAATCTACCAACATAATTTCATAGATTCATACATAGGCGCGGGAACTGGGGGAGGGGGCAGTGGGGGAAGCTTGCCTCCACAACTCTGCGGCCGTGGGGGCGGTGCCCCACAACGTTTCATGAGGCCAGGAACCGTTGGGCAGCTTGTCCTCCCCAAATTAGGGGTTGTGGGTCGCAAAGGAAGAAAGCATGTAAGTGAAAAATCCACCTATTTCACTGGCTCGGCAACTCATTTGGCAGATTAAAACCTTTACTCCAGGTTGCCAAAACGGTAATTTCTTCACTCAGCTGAGACGGAATACCTCACTTTTTGAAAATATTTACGTATTTTTTTGTTGTTGTTGTTGAAAAGGCCAAGGTCTGAAAAATAATTGGCCTAAAACCGGTGAGAAAACTAGATTTGGGGGTACCCTAGGTTGATTTCCATTATGGTTTAGCCCCCCCCCCCCCCAGTCTGCAAGAAGTTCCCGCGCCACTGGCTTGACCTCGAGGAGGTTGAGAGCGTTGAGAGGCAGTTTATCAAAAGTCGGCCAGAGAAGAGATCACCTTCTTTTGGGAACCCTTAGACTGAGACTGAGCTCAGGGAGGTATGCAACAATGTGATAAATATGTATATCCGAGTTATCTGGAAATGTATGTGGGTCGCCCTAATGGAGCTTTTTCTGGTATAGGGGAAGTTGGGGCAATGCCGGGATTGGGGCAAAGCCGAAATTCGAGATATTTCGAAAACCGTACGACATGGATGCCACCTGTCAGTGATGATCTGAAGCTTAACTGACTACCAATTATCGCATGTTTGTTACCAGTCGTCATTCGGAATAGTTACTTCGGCTGTGAGGGCGCCAAGAGCGTTTTCAAGGTACGTTTCCTTTGTACTACATGCGTCTTCGAAGCTGCATTTCCTACTCATTATGCTACCGTTTGTCTGGCCAATTCGGTCAAGTAATCTTCAGCACGTCTTTGCATAAGTGTGCTGCCTATTTGAAATTTATACAGCACGTTGAAAAGTTATGGGCCGGCAAATGATAGTGTGGGTGGCTGGGGTAATGCCGAAAACGTGCAATTACGCGGCGCGTTAAAGCATGCTACGTGAACTTTACCGCTGTAGAATAGCAACGCGTATTTTTAGTCACACAAATTACACTTTTAACCGACACAACGGCCTGTTACGATAAGGAATGATTTACCTGGCCTTTTCTTATTATATCACACAATTATAACTTCCAGTGTGCACCAAGCGTCCTCAAGCTCTTAAAACGCGTGTCAGCTTTGACGAATTCTGGATAAAATTTGAGATAAAATAGCAAAACATCAATTTCGGCATTCCCGTAGATCATTTCTCCCATTTTCGGCTTTCCCCGCAGTCCGGGGCAACGCCGAAAAAGTCACTTCTTTGATATTTTTAGTTTGTGCGCTTAACGGTATGCGAATTCATCAAATGCGCCTGGTATGTTTGAAAGGCAAAAGACTGGCCTCTCGAATGACGCCAACAAGAATAGCTTATGTTGTCTACCTTGCGTGCTACGGGCGTCAGAAAAAAAGTATTCGGCGTTCCCCCAACTTCCCCTACCAATCGTGTGTGAGAGAATCGCAAATATAAGTACTACGGGAAAAACAGAGAACTAGGTACTGACTATTCTTTTGAGGAATACATCATTTTACATCTCAACGAACAACATAACGTTTTCACAGGTTTGTGTCTCATAATCTAATTTTATAGTTTTATTTGCTCGCGACTTTAACCCGGCCGGTCCCGGGAGGTAATTCCAACCACCGCAGCCCGGGGGTAGCCCCCCACCCACCTGTCTAACTCGGTAAATAAGACAGCTACGGAAACAAAAATGGTACCAAACGAAAGGTATCTACGAGAAGATTCTAAAGCACCTAAATTCTTTGACCTCAGGTCAATTTTCAAGGTCAAAGGTAAAAACCGGCACTTTTGTAGTGGTCTCAAAGTACATGTTCCAGAGGACGGCAGGGTGCATAAAACCGGTTAAAATGGATGTTAGCAAACGAAAGAAGAGATTCTGGCTATTCCGATGATGTGCATAGCCCATAGGTAACATTCAAATTCAAGGTAACGGTCATGCTCAAAATTGACCACAAATTTGCACTTTTTCTTATATCTTATATACTAAATTCCAAGATGTTTTGAAATGTTTTGAAGCTTAGCGGACCCCTATTTGTGCTTTAGCTTACGATACAAGGCTGCTACAAGGTCAAAGTCACAAGAGAGTATCCTTGCTAGAGGCTATTTCACTTATTCAAGTCAGGCATAGACATGTTTTGCCATCCTGAGGCTCTAAATGAATGCTTAGAACAAAATGGATGCCAGAATCGTGATCAGCGGCTACGAAATAATCACAAACGGCATTTAATGTGTCAAAGTCAACCAAAGGTCATTCGAGGTCACATGAGGTCAACATAAAACTTGACTTTTTCCAAACAATATGTAAGCCATTCGACGTGTCTTGACGAGACAAATGCGCAAGTACCACTGCCGTAGCTGTAGGACCTTTTTTGTTGAAGTTATTTGCGAAAAAAACTAAGCCCCTGCTCGCGGTCGTTGACCTGACCTCTGACCTCAGGTCACCAAAGTTACTTAAGTATTTTTTTCTATGTCAAATGCTACCCAACCGTGCTCGTAATTTGTCTCTATCTCTAAAACTCTATTTTTGGCAGCTGGTTGAAGTTCACGTCTGTGGCCCCGAAGTTTGCCGTGCAGGAGTCTAGAAAAATCGGCCCTTAGACGTTATCAAGCAGGCTGGGTCCAAATTTTTTGCTTCAAAAGATGTCAAATTAATGGGGGATAAGGTGCAGCAAGTTTCGTCTTTCTATCCCTAAGCGTTCGTGAGGTATCGCAAATAACTGCGAACACAGTCATTCGCCAGGGGAGGCGAAAAACGCCCCCTCCCCTTCCGGGCCCGCGAGGGTTAAAGGTAGTGTGCCACCTTTGAAAGATTTCCCATTTTATTTTTCCTAGGATAAGAAGTTTCTGTTTTTACCTAATATCGCAAAAAAAATCAAAAATGGGCCTGGAATAGTGCCTTTTCGCCTAAAAGTTTATCGGTTTTTCGATATGTATAACAACTGTAGTGGGCTGACCTGCAAACAGACGTCGGCAACAATCGCGAATGCGGCGCACATGTGACAATAAGCAAAGGTCATTATAGAGTTACGACGTACGGGAATGAGTTATCAGCTGTCTTATCGTAGACAACACAATGTCGAGCCTTAAACTGTAAGCCTGTATTGGTATTGTTTCTTTTATTTGGCTGTCGAACATTATTTATGGTTTGAAATATGATTTTATGTAAAATAATTGATATGAAAAAGCCGTCTCTTGTTATGACCCCATTTCACCACACGCAAGTGGCAGAAATGACAATGATCAGCTGACGCATTTTTCTTGGCCGAAGTCAGAGCGCGCGGCCCGACGCACCACCACCGCACCACAAAGTATGAGCAGAAGCCGCGCCCAAAGCCAGGGCCCCGGTAACGTGAGGTAGCCGAGTCGGGGCAGCGTGCGCTGACCCAAGCCGGGGCCGCAGCTTTGGGCGCGGTCTACCGCATCCCCGCGGGCAGCCCCGGGCTATCACATGACACCGGGAGGACGCGCGGCCCCGGCTTGGGTCAGCGCACGCTGCCCCGACTCGGCTACCTCACGTTACCGGGGCCCTGGCTTTGGGCGCGGTCTACCGCACCACCTAACAGGCGTGTTCTAAACCGCAGGAGATGATGATGAACGGGTTTATCGAAACTTGATTGGATGAGCATATCGGTAATAGCGATTTCAGTGTGTGCATTTATTTTTCATAGTGGTGTGAAATGTGGTTGGGGTACGACCGACAACCCGTCGGGGCGAATTTCGCACTGGGGTACTCAAAATTTGAAGAATTTTAGACGTTTCCATGAGTTTTGAAGGTATGGATAAGTTCTAAAAATCCGGTTCTCCTTATCTGGGCCATTAACTCCTACGGTCCAGGAAAGCTGGCACACTACCTTTAAGCTCAATACGTATGCATGAAACCTGAATCCATAATAGTTTTGAATGGCAACATCTAGGGGCAAGGTGCTCATGGATTTTGCAGATCGGCGTATCAGACAACAATCGGGTCACCTCATGCTTGCCCCCACTGGCGAAAATTCGTGGCGCCGCCACTGAATCGGCCAAGTAGTTACCGAGATATTGCAACAATTACAAAACGAACACTTCTTCGTTTTGCACGTGGCACGTGCATAAGGGGTCACCCACATGCATCGGGAATAGTCCAATACTTGGTAGAAGGAATGAAGCTACCCTACAAAAATTACCGCATGTAAATCGGCCAAGTGGTTGCTGAGATATAAGCCTCGCAAAAGCGTCCGCACGGCCGGCCGCTCATACTCAGAAATTTCCGTTAATCTAAGGAAAGACTACGCTCGCTTCGCTCGCTCCGTAATAAGCATGTGTAGCAACTGTTTCTTCATCGCTAGCTCCGTTTACTGTTAGCTTTAGCTATTAGAAGATAAATGTTCTGCAGTGCTTCCATCCATCCCTGGCTCCTGCCCTTCCTACGCCCATGCACGTCACTCCCCTGTTGGACGGCTGCCAGACAAAAGAGATTGCCAGTCATGGACCTATCTTATCTCTGTATTGTTCGATCGAACCCTGCATGAGTCACCACTACAGCAGCTGCCACAGGCAACCGTCGGTTCTACCAAAAACAGGGTTGGTGGCATATGAAAAATGGTAATGGAAAAATGGAGTAATGTGTAGCTATGACATCGCATCCAAATTCGTGAACGTTACATTTCCTCGATTCTCTGAGTTCTGTCTGTGACTATTTCCTAGATGATTTACTGAGTTTTGATTTCGCCCACAGGTTCTGTTGTGGAGGACCAGTTCTCGCGTCTCCTGGGAGGCAGATGTGTACCGTCTGATATCGTCTCTCTCACCAGCCTCGACTGTCACGATCATAATGATCACACTGCCGAACTCCTCTGTATCGCCTCAAGGTGAGGCCGGGTCGGGATCTGCTAGTCGGGAATGATTGTGAAAGGTGGGAGGAGGGACAGCTCAAATGTCTAGGGGTTATCCGTTCTCACCGCTTAACGTTACTCATAACGATACTCCACTTTAATAGTTATCATGCATGTATATCAATAACCAGCTTTCCAGTCTCCAGAGGGCCCCGAAGATATCGATCATCAGATTTATAGTCGGGTACGCACGGACTCATCTTTAGTTTTTTTTTTGTGGTTGAGTGGAAATGATGTAGAGGGGAGGATCTGCTTTCGCCTTTTACCGCTGTTCAAACTACCTACAACGATCTAAGGTAATATTAGCTAGTTTATGAAATACGTGATTGATATTTTCTATCCACCAACGCCCGCTAATGTGAAATGTTTTGTTCCAGTTACGAAATATCCAGTGATCAAGGCTACGACCAAGCTGCTGGCGAGACCTACGTTGACAAGCTGAGCAAGGATAAAGAATGGACGACGAGACAGAAGGGCAGTCTGACCAGGTGCTACTCGATGGTTCTGGACCAGGTGCCGGCGGACAAGGAAGGGGCCTTCGTGCTGGCCTGCTGGCACCAGCTGCTTCTTTCTGAATGTAACCGGAAGAACATGACGACCTATGTGGAGGTCGTTGACCCAGAGAATGCCAAAGAACTTGTGGAAGCCGTCGCCGATTTGGCTGAAGGGCCCTGCTTTAACGTTGGTCTCAAGTATGCCGACGAATTGGGGATGAAATGGGAAGTATGTGCGAGAGACAAGAAACTGGACATGTCTTTCCTACAGGGCGCAGCGCACTATTACATGCTCTTCAGTCAAGGCCAGGAGATCCCCGATGTCACCCTGGAGAACAACAGGAAGACCATGGAGCAGCTGGATAGGCTGAACGAAACGTCCCTCTGCTACGCCGAAGCTACAGGAGAGGTCCAACCCAACGGAGAGATCAACTATGATCTGATCAACGAGGCAACCCGAAACGCCATCGGTCCGGAACGATTCAAAGTCGTCGACAGGGCCTTTGTCGACTTCTGCCGGGAAGGAAATCCTGGCAGCATTGCCGAGTACTACGCCTGTTTCAATAGGGAGAAGCCTTTCGCCTGTGCTGTCCTCAAGTCGTATGATATCGCTCTTGGTCGTCAGACGCCGAACGGAGCCTCAATCATCACGACGACGGTCGCCCCAGCCACTGCAGGCTTCATCGCCAGTCTGCTCGGCAGCATTTTTTGAATGTAAATGTCATCGTTGAACAGTATTTGTGAACGACATGAGGAGAAAGTATGCAGAGATGTCGAATGGCATCTGGCAATGATTCTAACCAGGCGAAGTAACTTGTCAATGCACTGACAAGTACAAGACAAGTTACCGAACCACTGCAGTGGTTTGGTTTTCTGAACATTTTCTGCTTATCAGTATTTGAAAGTATTACTGCCCCTTTTGGGTTCAATACCGTGAAGGCCGAGTGGACGATAAGATCCTTTGATGTTGATCTTCATCGTTACATCCTGGTATCATTGGACGCGTTCTTGTTACTCCCGATACAGCCTACACTGGTTGTAACTTTTCTGATAGTATTTTTGGGTGCTGTCAGCTGTGATATTGTGAAAAGCTTCTAACAGGTGTTTCGTGGTGTTTCTATTGACTGTAGTGTACGGAAATAAGAGGCCTCTTTATGTTCTTGTTTTCTTCTGAGCCTTTTCGTGAAGCGCAAAAGTGATTATTTTTGCTTAAACATTGAAACACAACCAGCTGTAGGTAAATGAATTGGTTGAAGACATCTGCATTCTGCAATTTTCTTTGAAAGCTGGAGGAATTATCCAGGAAATTAGCTTCTCTTTTTATGTACTATTGGCTAGACTGCAGGAAAGTAACTATGTATGGGTCATATACCTGCCTTGTGACCTGCTGGTTGTTAACCCGCGCGGGGCTGGGGTCTCCAGCCGAACGCGCGGGGCTGGGGGGGGGGGGTAAATTTTACCCCCCCTGTTATCTCCCAAACTAATGGTCCGATTTGGAAAATTCAAACGCCAATCGAAAGCTCTCATCACGAACTACTAAAAACATGTACTTAATTTTAAGTTTGAGGTCAAGGTCAAGGTCAGGTCAAGGGTACAAATTGCAAGTTCCTACAGTATCGGCCTTGCACCGTAGTTGCCGAAGAATGGAGTCATGGACTGAGACTGATCGCCCAAAACGTGTTCTTAGGCTACCAAGACAATATTCGTTGCATACAATATCATTCAGAGGTCAAGGTCAAGGTCAGGTCAGGTCAGGTCAGGTCACCAAAAAACAAAATATAGAAAAGGGCATGTGCGACACATGTTTTATGGGTCATTTTACTCATAGAATTCAATAGGCACACTCAATAAGTGATATGGACCACCTCTGGATGAATTTCAGGTCGAGGTCAGGTCAAGGTCAGGTCAAGTGAGGTCAAATTTTGAAGTTGGTTGTTAAGGCCTAAAAAGGTGTCTATCTGATGCAGTTTTTCACGGCGAATCGAATGGTGCTATTTTTGTTTCCGTACGAGGTCTAGAACTTCCAAAAAAGTCATTTTTCAAAAATTTTGTGTGTCGTGACGTGATAAAATTTTGAATAACTCCCACATGTTTGAACCGATTCTTCTAAAATTTGGTATGTAGGTGCATATAGACCACTTCTCTGACATATATTCCGGTTTTTTTGATAGACTCAAAATTTTGGATTTTATAATGATTTTCCCAAAAAAATCAGTTTTTTGAAAAAATTTAGGCCAAAATCCAAAATTTTCAAAAAACCGAGATAGCCATTTCATAGACAAAGTAAAATTACGTATAACCTTTTTTGTTACGTCTTGATTCCTTTAAAAATGAAGATGTTAGCGGCGTTTGAACTTTTGCCGTTTTTGAGGCGAAAATGGCGAACATGACGTCACTAAAACGTCAATTTCTCAAAAATTTACCGACGGATTTCGCTTAAATTTTCAGGGAAGGTGTCAAATTGATGTAAGAAAAGGTACTGAAAGTTTGGCGGCGCTGCGCGCCGCCGTTTTTGAGATATCGCAAAAATTCGCGAGGGGGGGTAAAATTTACCCCCCCCCCCCAGCCCCGCGCGGGTTAAATAACAGATCATTTTGAAATCCTGTGAGATACATCACGTTTCACAGGGAAAACGTCATTTCACTGCCGACCACCCAGCCACTATATCCAGACGAAGGCAGTGTTCCTCCCCAGGCCCCAGCGATGCTAGCGCCCATCCTTGCCCTCTGATGGATGCTAGGCGGTGAAAGTGAACGGAGCTTCGGTAGGTGGCAGCACGATGGTGCACTGTTCTGGGGAGGCCAGAGTCGGAGGAGGCTTATCACTGATCACTGATTCACGGAGAACATACGGAATATTGAAAAAGTAACGAAGCATGAATATGTCAGTTCAGAGAGGTTTGTGGCAAAGATAAGTGTTCCATTTTCTGTTATTGTCCTTTAGGCTAAAGACCTAATTAACGTTTAAGGTATTTTCTTCGACGGGTTATTCATCCTTTGAGATTGAAACAGAATGAGTATAAAAAATAATATTTAATCCCGTTGGTATATATGTCATTGGTGAAAGATACAAAAACTAATCTTCCATCGGCATCATGCGCGCTTATGATGACTTACTAAATAAATGGCTTGGTAGGGTACTCTAATCATTGTAGGTATTTGTAAATATCCTACATAATAAAAATATAAATTTGCATACTCATATCAACATGTCAAATGCTGATTGCACTTATGCCTACAAGCATCTATGGTGCCTGGTGGCCGACCAACTATCAAGAAAGAGGTGCTAAAATGCCCCATGTGGCGTGTAAAATCAGACACAGGAAGACAGAGATTTAATGGCATTCGTATACGTCCACTTCTGTCTGGCACAGCTTTTGCACCGAACAGCTGACTCAGGTCGTGCTTCTCTCACTCACTCACTCACTCACTCACTCACTCACTCACTCACTCACTCACTCACTCACTCACTCACTCACTCACTCACTCACTCACTCACTCACTCACTCACTCACTCACTCACTCACTCACTCACTCACTCTCTCTCTCTCTCTCTCTCTCTCTCTCTCTCTCTCTCTCTCTCTCTCTCTCTCTCTCTCTCTCTCTCTCCACTCCTACCAGCCTCTCTTTCTGCGCAATAGACCGTGAGTTTTTAGGGAGCCGCGAGTGCGGTAACAGCACTTGCCATTGCAATCCCTTCACACATTGCCTTCACAAGCAGCCGGCCAGCAATATTGCGAAAACGACCGTCTGTCTACTGGTTTCCGGGCCCTTCTCTCGTGAATTTTTGCAGCTGACGTGTGGGCCAGACATTTGGAGTAAAACGCAGGCTCGGCAACTGTTACACTGGCCAGTGAAAATGGGGTATAAATTGTCTCATTCTTATATTCATAGATCGTCAATTAGGATCAAAGTTAGGAGACTATTGCTGACTGTTATAGACTGTCTTTGGATAGCTATTTTGGAATCAAATGGTGAATACATTTCCAGCAAAGATGACATAACCGTGGCCCAGAATTTGGCAATTGATCGGCTTGGTATGATAACATTAAGTTTGAACGGCCTTCATGTTTTGGTCGCTGTGAATGATTAAGGCCATTAGAATATTAAAAAGACCGGTTTCAAAACATAACCTTGAGACGCTGGCAATATTCCCATAAAAATTGTTAACGAGTGAGGAGGATTTCTAAATCGTAGACTCATCTAAGACCGCTGTGATATGAAAACCACCGAGGTTCATTTCATAAGTTATCTGCCAAGAAAGGCACACTGAATTCGGAATGCAAAACATGAATGTGTCGCGACAAATCTTATCTCCGTCCATTTAGGACTGAGTCTGGCATCAGTCATTCACTAACTACTCTCCACATTGTGCCCAAGCCTCAGTTTTTCACTCTCTTCCAGCGCCAGTTCTTCCCCCCATTACAACTGTTCATCTCGTGTGCGACTTCCCAAATCTCATTACACCACCATTGCGTCACCAGCCGGCACCGGATGGTGTGAACTGCTCACGGCAGTGGTGCAACTGTGCACCAGTGCACGGCAGTGGCACCACTCCGGTCACCGCGTGCACGACAGGAAATGCCGCTCACAGTGGGGAGGGCACGCGCTGTCGAGAGGTGCCCGAGCTCGGATCACGACAGTCACGAGGTAAGGTTTGCTGGAGATAACGGAAAGATCTGGCATTCATAGGATGAATGACGGACACTGAATAACCAAAACGGCTCATCGTATGAATGATAATCATGGAAAGATGACGGACTCACTGGACATTAAAAATCTTGCACCAAACAATGACGGGTAACGGTCAGTCCCAGACTGACAAACGATCACAATTCACAGTCTTACTAGACCGACAAAACAGTAGACTCATATTTAATGATCACAGTTTCTCAAAATGATCACGGAGCTATCACGGGATCGAACAGCATGAATATCTCCCTCTCTCTCTCTCTCTCTCTCTCTCTCTCTCTCTCTCTCTCTCTCTCTCTCTCTCTCTCTCTCTCTCTCTCTCTCTCTCTCTCTCTCTCTCTTTCTCCTCCCGTAACGGTTTAACCTCCAGTAGAGCCTGATTTAAAATGGAGCAAAGCCCGCGGGGTGCAGTCTCGACTCTTCCGCGCATGACCAACGGTCAAAGGAGCTGTAAGTGGCCGGTGGGTGACGAGATTCGAACTTCGTGAGCGACATCGAAGTGTTGTTTCGTGATCTATACTGCTGAGAAGCTTCGTGAGCCAAGCGAAGCTGGCCGGTGGCTAGCCGGGATGTTTTGCGATCTGGGTTCCGAGCTGAATGGACTGGGAATGGGTAGAGGACGGACATGTCAAACGTGATCCAAATTATTTGGGAAAGGATATTATCGCCGTTTGAGAGCCAATTTGCGAAACAAATAGGCTAACAAATGGGTTAGTTAATAAATATCCTCTTTACGAGATCGCAAGCTCTTGATCGAGCATCCAGATGAAATGAGCGTAGGTAGCGCAACACCACTGATTAGCAAAAACCTTAGATGGGGACAGAGGGTCTTTCACTTCAATAGGACGATAAAGGATTCCGTATCAGCACATCGTAGCAAGAAACGGAAATGCTTTCTTCGCAGGAAGTTCAAGCGGTTTCGCTTCCTGTCGCGAATCGAGAATCAGTTTTATGTAAGCCGCACATAGCATTCATCAAGGTGTAACAAAGGTGCGTTTGTTACGTTTAGTGACGAGCAGATCGGTGAACAGATTTAACTTTTGCGCCATCACTATTGTTGGTTGACATAGATGCCGCCGATTGCTGAAGGATTGCTCGCCCATTTCCGCCATTGTGCATTGTTAATTGATACATTTGTTATCAACTGACAGGTCTGGTAGTTTCTCTGGAGATATCAGAACAATTATCGGATTCATTCTAGCACAAGAACCAGTAATGTGTCACCCGTCAGGATTAGCCTTGGAGACTGGCTACCATTGCGTTCGACTGGATGCGAAACTGAAACAGCCAATTGAAACATTCTAGCTCTTTAACCCTATTAGTGGCAGGCTCCTGGCTACCCCTATTAGTGGCAGGGGGCTGTTTACGACCCCCCCCCCTGATATCTCGAGATCTAACTGGCCGATTTTCAAAATTCAAACGGCATTCGATTTCGTTCAACGTGATCTACATTTCTAGAAAATA